GTGTGTGTGTGCTGTAGAGAAAGTCTGTCCACCCTAGGGCCAGTCTGTGTGTGCTGTAGAGAAAGTCTGTCCACCCTAGGGCAAGTCTGTGTGTGCTGTAGAGAAAGTCTGTCCACCCTAGGGCAAGTCTGTGTGTGCTGTAGAGAAAGTCTGTTAACCCTAGGGCAAGTCTGTGTGTGTTGTAGAGAAAGTATATCCACCCTAGGGCTAGTCTGTGTGTGCTGTACAGAAAGTCTGTCCACCCTAGGGCAAGTCTGTGTGTGCTGTAGAGAAAGTCTGTCCACCCTAGGGCCAGTCTGTGTGTGCTGTAGAGAAAGTCTGTCCACCCTAGGGCAAGTCTGTGTGTGCTGTACAGAAAGTCTGTCCACCCTAGAGCAAGTCTGTGTGTGCTGTACAGAAAGCATATCCACCCTAGGGCAAGTCTGTGTCCTGTAGAGAAAGTCTGTTAACCCTAGGGCAAGTCTGTGTGTGTGTGGTAGGGAAAGTCTGTTAACCCTAGGGCCAGTCTGTGTGTGCTGTAGAGAAAGTATGTTAACCCTAGGGCCAGTCTGTGTGTGCTGTAGAGGAAGTCCGTTCCCCCTGCTGTACAGCAGTACCCCAGTCCTACACTGTAGTGTAGAAAGCTGAAGGCCAACAACCACAGATTACAACAGAGCATCTGACACTGAAGGATGTATGCAATGAGGGAAGATGTCGAGTGGTACTGAGGCTGGGCCAGGATTTCCTTTGCAATTAATTATGATAACAACAGTACAACAGGCCTACAACAACACCCCAGCCCTACAATAGTACACCAGTGCTACAATAGTACCCCAGCCCTACAATAGTGCCACAGTGCTACAAAAGTACCACAGTCCTACATCAGTACCCAAGCCCTACAACAGAAGTGTAAGAGAAAAGACTGCAATAATCTTATGTCAGTGAAACAATGACAATGTGCTGTGTGTTTATGTCAGATAATGGCTGGTCAACAGTGTGCTGTGTATTTATGTCAGATAACGGCTGGTCAACAGTGTGCTGTGTATTTATGTCAGATAACGGCTGGTCAACAGTGTGCTGTGTGTTTATGTCAGATAACGGCTGGTCAACAGTGTGCTGTGTATTTATGTCAGATAACGGCTGGTCAACAGTGTGCTGTGTGTTTATGTCAGATAATGGCCGGTCAACAGACAGTGTGCTGTGTGTTTATGTCAGATAACGACTCGTCAACAGTGTGCTGTGTTTATGTCAGATAATTCCTGGTCAACAGTGTGCTGTGTATTTATGTCAGATAACGGCTGGTCAACAGTGTGCTGTGTATTTATGTCAGATAACGACTCGTCAACAGTGTGCTGTGTGTTTATGTCAGATAACGGCTGGTCAACAGTGTGCTGTGTATTTATGTCAGATAACGGCTGGTCAACAGACAGTGTGCTGTGTGTTTATGTCAGATAACGGTTGGTCAACAGACAGTGTGCTGTGTGTTTATGTCAGATAACGGCTGGTCAACAGACAGTGTGCTGTGTGTTTTATGTCAGATAACGGCTGGTCAACAGTGTGCTGTGTGTTTATGTCAGATGCTGTGTGTTTATGCTAACGGCCTCGTCAACAGTGTGCTGTGTGTGTGTGAGATAACGGCTGATAACAGTGTCAGATAACGGCTGGTCAACAGTGTGCTGTGTGTTTATGTCAGATAACAGCTGGTCAACAGACAGTGTGCTGTGTGTTTATGTCAGATAACGGCTGGTCAACAGACAGTGTGCTGTGTGTTTATGTCAGATAACGGCTGGTCAACAGACAGTGTGCTGTGTGTTTTATGTCAGATAACGTGTGCTGGTCAGATAACGGCTGGTCAACAGACAGTGTGCTGTGTGTTTATGTCAGATAACGGCTGGTCAACAGACAGTGTGCTGTGTGTTTTATGTCAGATAACGGCTGGTCAACAGTGTGCTGTGTGTTTATGTCAGATAACGGCTCGTCAACAGTGTGCTGTGTGTTTATGTCAGATAACGGCTCGTCAACAGTGTGATGTGTGTTTGTGTGAGATAACGGCTGGTCAACAGTGTGCTGTGTGTTTGTGTCAGATAACGGCTGGTCAACAGACAGTGTGCTGTGTGTTTATGTCAGATAACAGCTGGTCAAGAGACAGTATGCTGTGTGTTTATGTCAGATAACAGCTGGTCAACAGTGTGCTGTGTGTTTATGTCAGATAACAGCTGGTCAAGAGACAGTGTGCTGTGTGTTTATGTCAGATAACGGCTGGTCAACAGTGTGCTGTGTGTTTATGTCAGATAACAGCTGGTCAAGAGACAGTATGCTGTGTGTTTATATCAGATAACGGCTGGTCAACAGTGTGCTGTGTGTTTATGTCAGATAATGGCTGGTTAACAGACAGTATGCTGTGTGTTTATGTCGGATAACGGCTGGTCAACAGACAGTGTTCTGTGTGTTTATGTCAGATAATGGCCGGTCAACAGACAGTGTGCTGTGTGTTTATGTCAGATAACAGCTAGTCAACAGTGTGCTGTGTGTTTATGTCAGATAACGGCTGGTCAACAGTGTGCTGTGTGTTTTATGTCAGATAACAGCTAGTCAACAGTGTGCTGTGTGTTTATGTCAGATAACAGCTAGTCAACAGTGTGCTGTGTGTTTATGTCAGATAACAGCTGGTCAACAGTGTGCTGTGTGTTTTATGTCAGATAACAGCTAGTCAACAGTGTGCTGTGTGTTTATGTCAGATAACGGCTGGTCAACAGACAGTGTGCTGTGTGTTTTATGTCAGATAACGGCTGGTCAACAGTGTGCTGTGTGTTTATGTCAGATAACGGCTGGTCAACAGACAGTGTGCTGTGTGTTTATGTCAGATAACAGCTGGTCAACAGTGTGCTGTGTCAAGAGACAGTGTGTTTTTTATGTCAGATAACAGGCTGTCAACAGTGTGCTGTGTGCTGTGTGTTTATGTCAGATAACGGCTGGTCAACAGTGTGCTGTGTGTTTATGTCAGATAACGGCTGGTCAACAGTGTGCTGTGTGTTTATGTCAGATAACAGCTGGTCAACAGTGTGCTGTGTGTTTTATGTCAGATAACAGCTGGTCAACAGTGTGCAGTGTGTTTATGTCAGATAACGGCTGGTCAACAGTGTGCTGTGTGTTTATGTCAGATAACAGCTGGTCAACAGTGTGCAGTGTGTTTATGTCAGATAACAGCTGGTCAACAGTGTGCTGTGTGTTTATGTCAGATAACAGCTGGTCAACAGTGTGCTGTGTGTTTATGTCAGATAACAGCTGGTCAACAGTGTGCTGTGTGTTTATGTCAGATAACAGCTGGTCAACAGTGTGCTGTGTGTTTATGTCAGATAACAGCTGGTCAACAGTGTGCTGTGTGTTTATGTCAGATAACAGCTGGTCAACAGTGTGCTGTGTGTTTATGTCAGATAACGGCTGGTCAACAGTGTGCTGTGTGTTTATGTCAGATAACGGCTGGTCAACAGTGTGCTGTGTGTTTATGTCAAACAGCTCATCAACAGTGTGCTGTGTGTTTGTGTCAGATAACGGCTCGTCAACAGACAGTGTGCTGTGTGTTTATGTCAGATAACGGCTGGTCAACAGACAGTGTGCTGTGTGTTTATGTCGGATAACGGCTGGTCAACAGACAGTGTGCTGTGTGTTTGTGTCAGATAATGGCCGGTCAACAGACAGTGTGCTGTGTGTTTATGTCAGATAACAGCTGGTCAACAGTGTGCTGTGTGTTTATGTCAGATAACAGCTAGTCAACAGTGTGCTGTGTGTTTATGTCAGATAACGGCTGGTCAACAGTGTGCAGTGTGTTTGTGTCAGATAATGGCCGGTCAACAGACAGTGTGCTGTGTGTTTATGTCAGATAACAGCTAGTCAACAGTGTGCAGTGTGTTTGTGTCAGATAATGGCCGGTCAACAGACAGTGTGCTGTGTGTTTATGTCAGATAACAGCTGGTCAACAGTGTGCTGTGTGTTTGTGTCAGATAATGGCCGGTCAACAGACAGTGTGCTGTGTGTTTATGTCAGATAACAGCTGGTCAACAGTGTGCAGTGTGTTTGTGTCAGATAACAGCTAGTCAACAGTGTGCTGTGTGTTTATGTCAGATAACGGCTAGTCAACAGTGTGCTGTGTGTTTATGTCGGATAACGGCTGGTCAACAGACAGTGTGCTGTGTGTTTGTGTCAGATAATGGCCGGTCAACAGACAGTGTGCTGTGTGTTTATGTCAGATAACGGCTAGTCAACAGTGTGCTGTGTATTAATGTCAGATAACAGCTGGTCAACAGTGTGCTGTGTGTTTATGTCAGATAACGGCTAGTCAACAGTGTGCTGTGTGTTTATGTCAGATAACAGCTAGTCAACAGTGTGCTGTGTGTTTATGTCAGATAACGGCTGGTCAACAGTGTGCTGTGTGTTTATGTCAGATAACGGCTGGTCAACAGTGTGCTGTGTGTTTATGTCAGATAACAGCTAGTCAACAGTGTGCTGTGTGTTTATGTCAGATAACAGCTGGTCAACAGTGTGCTGTGTGTTTATGTCAGATAACGGCTGGTCAACAGTGTGCTGTGTGTTTATGTCAGATAACGGCTAGTCAACAGTGTGCTGTGTGTTTATGTCAGATAACAGCTGGTCAACAGTGTGCTGTGTGTTTATGTCAGATAACAGCTAGTCAACAGTGTGCTGTGTGTTTATGTCAGATAACAGCTGGTCAACAGTGTGCTGTGTGTTTATGTCAGATAACGGCTGGTCAACAGTGTGCTGTGTGTTTATGTCAGATAACAGCTAGTCAACAGTGTGCTGTGTGTTTATGTCAGATAACAGCTAGTCAACAGTGTGCAGTGTGTTTATATCAGATAACAGCTAGTCAAGAGACAGTGTGCTGTGTGTTTATGTCAGATAACAGCTAGTCAACAGTGTGCAGTGTGTATGTCAGATAATGGCCGGTCAACAGACAGTGTGCTGTGTGTGTTTGTGTCAGATAATGGCTGGTACACAACTGATACCTGAGCCTTGCTCCAGCCTAGCCAGAGGGTCATCATCCTCTGTCACGTAACGCTTGTCCACCGCCTCTTTGATCTGGTTGTTCAAACCCTTGGGGTCAAGGTCCATAGCCCAGGAGAAATTCATCATGGCCAGATGTGTATTGCCCAACTTTTTGTGAACCTTCAGTATAAAAACAAAAATATATTGCCCAACTTGTTGTGAACCTTCAATATAAAGATAAATATAATGTATTACCCACAATTGAATGAGCTTAAAACACAAGAAATCAAGTATTAGCTCAAAGTTTCAGACCACCTTGTCAATAATTGATGTGTCCAGACTATTGTGGAGCACTGCATGGTCATCTTGTGTTGTGTTGCAGGCTCACTGATACCAGGTTGTCTGTAGCCAGTGTCATTGTTTTCTGTATTTGTCTGCACTTCTTGGGTGGCTCGGCTGATGGATTGGTTATTTTTGGCACGTTTAGGCTCTACATCATTTATTTATCTCTGTCTTGGTCTTCCTAACAGATATTCCGATAGAACAAGTCTCATGTGTATTCTTCTATTGTAAGATGCACTGAAGGTAATCAATTACTACTGTCTGCTGACATTACAAAATGAAAATTGATGCTGTTTCAGTGATGTTTAGCTGTTTTAGTGCTGCTAGTTTGTTGCTGTTCCAGTGTTGTTTGGCTGTTGCTGTTCCAGTGATGTTTATCTTTTGCTGTTCCAGTGCTGTTTATCTGTTGCTGCTCCAGTGCTGTTTATCTGCTGCTGTTCCAGTGCTGTTTATATGTTGCTGTTCCAGTGTTGTTTATCTGTTGCTGTTCCAGTGCTGTTTATCTGTTGCTGTTCCAGTGCTGTTTATCTGTTGCTGTTCCAGTGCTGTTTATCTGTTGCTGTTCCAGTCCAGTTTGGCTGTTGCTGTTCATGTGCTGTTTGGTTGCCACTGTTCCAGTCCAGTTTAGCTGTTGCTGTTTGAGTGCTGTTTAGCAATTATTGTTCGAGTGCTGTTTAGCAATTACTGTTCCAGTGCTGTTTAGCAATTACTGTTCCAGTGCTGTTTAGCAATTACTGTTCCAGTGCTGTTTATCTGTTGCTGTTCCAGTGCTGATTATCGCTGTTCCAGTGCTGTTTATCTGCTACTGTTCCAGTGCTGTTTATCTGCTGCTGTTCCAGTGCTGTTTATATGTCGCTGTTCCAGTGCTGTTAATCTGCTGCTGTTCCAGTGCTGTTTATCTGTTGCTGTTCCAGTGCTGTTAATCTGTTGCTGCTCCAGTGCTGTTAATCTGCTGCTGTTCCAGTGCTGTTTCTGTTGCTGTTCCAGTGCTGTTAATCTGTTGCTGTTCCAGTGCTGTTTATCTGTTGCTGTTCCAGTGCTGTTTATCTGTTGCTGTTCCAATGATGTTTATCTGTTGCTGTTCCAATGCTGTTTATCTGTTGCTGTTCCAGTGCTGTTTATCTGTTGCTGTTCCAATGCTGTTTATCTGTTGCTTTTCCAGTGCTGTTTATCTGTTGCTGTTCCAGTGCTGTTTATCTGTTGCTGTTCCAGTGCTGTTTATTTGTTGCTGTTCCAGTGCTTTTTATCTGTTGCAACAGTTTTATCTTTTAGTTCACAAGAAAATGGAGCAACATAAAAAACAAACGCAGCTAGCTGTAGCCACTGACAGGGCTACATAAGTAACATCATGTGCAGTAGGGAACAGTGCTACATAAGTACAATCATGTGCAGTAGGGGACAGGGCTACATAAGTAACATCATGTGCAGTAGTAGACAGTGCTACATAAGTAACATCATGTGCAGTAGTAGACAGTGCTACATAAGTAACATCATGTGCAGTAGGGGACAGGGCTACATAAGTACAATCATGTGCAGTAGTAGACAGTGCTACATAAGTAACCTCATGTGCAGTAGGGGACAGGGCTACATAAGTAACATCATGTGCAGTAGGGGACGGGGCTACATAAGAAACATCATGTGCAGTAGCAGACAGGGCTACATAAGTAACATCATGTGCAGCAGGGGACGGGGCTACATAAGTAACATCATGTGCAGTAGGGGACAGGGCTACATAAGTAACATCATGTGCAGTAGGGGACAGGGCTACATAAGAAACATCATGTGCAGTAGGGGACAGGGCTACATAAGTAACATCATGTGCAGTAGGGGACAGGGCTACATAAGAAACATCATGTGCAGTAGGGGACAGGGCTACATAAGTAACATCATGTGCAGTAGGGGACAGGGCTACATAAGAAACATCATGTGCAGTAGGGGACAGGGCTACATAAGTAACATCATGTGCAGTAGGGGACAGGGCTACATAAGTAACACCATGTGCAGTAGGGGACAGGGCTACATAAGTAACATCATGTGCAGTAGGGGACAGGGTTACATAAGTAACATCATGTGCAGTAGGGGACAGGGCTACATAAGTAACATCATGTGCAGTAGCGGACAGGGCTACATAAGTAACATCATGTGCAGTAGGGGACAGGGCTACATAAGAAACATCATGTGCAGTAGGGGACAGGGCTACATAAGTAACATCATGTGCAGTAGGGGACAGGGCTACATAAGTAACATCATGTGCAGTAGGGGACAGGGCTACATAAGTAACATCATGTGCAGTAGGGGACAGGGCTACATAAGTAACATCATGTGCAGTAGGGGACAGGGCTACATAAGTAACATCATGTGCAGTAGGGGACAGGGCTACATAAGTAACATCATGTGCAGTAGGGGACAGGGCTACATAAGAAACATCATGTGCAGTAGAGGACAGGGCTATATAAGTAACATCATGTGCAGTAGGGGACAGGGCTACATAAGAAACATCATGTGCAGTAGGGGACAGGGCTACATAAGTAACATCATGTGCAGTAGGGGACAGGGCTACATAAGTAACATCATGTGCAGTAGGGGACGGGGGCTACATAAGGAACATCATGTGCAGTAGCAGACAGGGCTACATAAGTAACATCATGTGCAGCAGGGGACGGGGCTACATAAGTAACATCATGTGCAGTAGGGGACAGGGCTACATAAGTAACATCATGTGCAGTAGGGGACAGGGCTACATAAGAAACATCATGTGCAGTAGGGGACAGGGCTACATAAGTAACATCATGTGCAGTAGGGGACAGGGCTACATAAGAAACATCATGTGCAGTAGGGGACAGGGCTACATAAGTAACATCATGTGCAGTAGGGGACAGGGCTACATAAGTAACACCATGTGCAGTAGGGGACAGGGCTACATAAGTAACATCATGTGCAGTAGGGGACAGGGCTACATAAGTAACACCATGTGCAGTAGGGGACAGGGCTACATAAGTAACATCATGTGCAGTAGGGGACAGGGCTACATAAGTAACATCATGTGCAGTAGGGGACAGGGCTACATAAGTAACATCATGTGCAGTAGGGGACAGGGCTACATAAGTAACATCATGTGCAGTAGGGGACAGGGCTACATAAGAAACATCATGTGCAGTAGAGGACAGGGCTATATAAGTAACATCATGTGCAGTAGGGGACAGGGCTACATAAGAAACATCATGTGCAGTAGGGGACAGGGCTACATAAGTAACATCATGTGCAGTAGGGGACAGGGCTACATAAGTAACATCATGTGCAGTAGGGGACGGGGCTACATAAGGAACATCATGTGCAGTAGCAGACAGGGCTACATAAGTAACATCATGTGCAGCAGGGGACGGGGCTACATAAGTAACATCATGTGCAGTAGGGGACAGGGCTACATAAGTAACATCATGTGCAGTAGGGGACAGGGCTACATAAGAAACATCATGTGCAGTAGGGGACAGGGCTACATAAGTAACATCATGTGCAGTAGGGGACAGGGCTACATAAGAAACATCATGTGCAGTAGGGGACAGGGCTACATAAGTAACATCATGTGCAGTAGGGGACAGGGCTACATAAGTAACACCATGTGCAGTAGGGGACAGGGCTACATAAGTAACATCATGTGCAGTAGGGGACAGGGCTACATAAGTAACACCATGTGCAGTAGGGGACAGGGCTACATAAGTAACATCATGTGCAGTAGGGGACAGGGCTACATAAGTAACATCATGTGCAGTAGGGGACAGGGCTACATAAGTAACATCATGTGCAGTAGGGGACAGGGCTACATAAGTAACATCATGTGCAGTAGGGGACAGGGCTACATAAGAAACATCATGTGCAGTAGCAGACAGGGCTACACAAGTAACATCATGTGCAGTAGGGGACAGGGCTACATAAGTAACATCATGTGCAGTAGGGGACGGGGCTACATAAGAAACATCATGTGCAGTAGCAGACAGGGCTACATAAGTAACATCATGTGCAGCAGGGGACGGGGCTACATAAGTAATATCATGTGCAGCAGGGGATGGGGCTACATAAGTAACATCATGTGCAGTAGGGGACAGGGCTACATAAGTAACATCATGTGCAGTAGGGGACAGGGCTACATAAGTAACATCATGTGCAGTAGGGGACAGGGCTACATAAGTAACATCATGTGCAGTAGGGGACAGGGCTACATAAGTATCATCATGTGCAGTAGGGGACAGGGCTACATAAGTAACATCATGTGCAGTAGGGGACAGGGCTACATAAGTAACATCATGTGCAGTAGGGGACAGGGCTACATAAGTAACATCATGTGCAGTAGGGGACAGGGCTACATAAGTAACATCATGTGCAGTAGGGGACAGGGCTACATAAGTAACATCATGTGCAGTAGCAGACAGGGCTACATAAGTAACATCATGTGCAGTAGCGGACAGGGCTACATAAGTAACATCATGTGCAGTAGCGGACAGGGCTACAAAAGTAACATCATGTGCAGTAGCGGACAGGGCTACATAAGTAACATTATGTGCAGTAGCGGACAGGGCTACATAAGTAACATCATGTGTAGTAGCGGACAGGGCTACATAAGTAACATCATGTGCAGTAGGGGACAGGGCTACATAAGTAACATCATGTGCAGTAGCGGACAGGGCTACATAAGTAACATCATGTGCAGTAGCGGACAGGGCTACATAAGTAACATCATGTGCAGTAGCGGACAGGGCTACATAAGTAACATCATGTGCAGTAGCGGACAGGGCTACATAAGTAACATTATGTGCAGTAGCGGACAGGGCTACATAAGTAACATCATGTGTAGTAGCGGACAGGGCTACATAAGTAACATCATGTGCAGTAGGGGACAGGGCTTCATAAGTAACATCATGTGCAGTAGGGGACAGGGCTACATAAGAAACATCATGTGCAGTAGGGGACAGGGCTACATAAGAAACATCATGTGCAGTAGCGGACAGGGCTACATAAGTAACATCATGTGCAGTAGGGGACAGGGCTACATGTTAGTAAAGCAAGATGGCTGTTGATAGTCAGATGTGGCCTGATGCAGATAGTAAGTTTAAAGGTAGGTATTTAGGATACTGGTTGGCAGATCAGAGGTCATTGCTAAGTGTGACCTCTGAGTACATAATTAATGAGCTGTCAGGGGACGACAACAACCACAGATGACTTGAGTTCCAGAATAGCCAGGATAACTCAGACATATTGCAAAGCTCATTTCTACGATTCAGCCATTATTCGTTGACCTTTACCATAGCATCACAGACACAATGTAGATAAGACATAGGGTCCAACAGTCGATTAGGCTCATGTACGGCAGGGACGCACAGTGGGGCCAAATTGTGGGGCGTTGTCCAAAACCCTGGCTACTAGCAGTGACTGCTGTGTCTGGTCAGAGGGGACTGACCCTCTCTTCAGGACAAGGCTTGCTGAGTGAACGCATGCCCCCCTTTTGTCACTGAGTGTTGGCTCAAAGCTTCTCCTCCGTTTCCTGCTCTATCAGGTGGTAGACAAAACAATCTCTCTCTTGGCTTCATAGAGACACATTCAATATCTCTTGCTAACTTGCCTCTTGGTCAGCTAGCCTCTGGGTCAGTTGCCTCTGGGTCAGCTAGCCTCTGGGTCAGCTAGCCTCTGCGTTTGTGTCAATATTAAATATTAGTGGGAAAAATTGTGTCTATGTTAAACAGTGAAACAAACATACAGATTCATCGGGAAAATCGTGTCCATGTTCAACAGTGAAACAAACATACAGATTCGTGGGAAAATTGTGTCCATGTTCAACAGTGAAACAAACATACAGATTCATCGGGAAAATCGTGTCCATGTTCAACAGTGAAACAAACATACAGATTCATGGGAAAATCATGTCCATGTTCAACAGTGAAACAAACATACAGATCCATGAGATATGGAATGTGAATGTTAAACAGTGAAACAAACATACAGATTCGTGGGAAAATCGTGTCCATGTTTAACAGTGAAACAAACATACAGATCCATGAGATATGGAATGTGAATGTTAAACAGTGAAACAAACATACAGATTCGTGGGAAAATCGTGTCCATGCTCAACAGTGAAACAAACATACAGATTCGTGTCCATGTTCAACAGTAAAACAAACATACAGATTCATCGGGAAAATCGTGTCCATGTTCAACAGTGAAACAAACATACAGATCTGTGGGAAAATCGTGTCCATGTTCAACAGTGAAACAAACATACAGATCTGTGGGAAAATCGTGTCCATGTTCAACAATGAAACAAACATACAGATCTGTGGGAAAATCATGTCCATGTTCAACAGTGAAACAAACATACAGATTCATGGGAAAATCGTGTCCATGTTCAACAGTGAAACAAACATACAGATCTGTGGGAAAATCGTGTCCATGTTCAACAGTGAAACAAACATACAGATTCATGGGAAAATCGTGTCCATGTTCAACAGTAAAACAAACATACAGATCCACCAACCTTGCCCATTAGGAAATAGACCAGAGATTCTCGGGGAATAATTTGCTTCAATGTTTCTAGTTCCTCCAGAGCTTCCTGTGGTAGGTTACAGAAAATCAATGTTAACACTGGCAAGTGTCATTTTTGTATAGAACTGGAACAGATAAGTGTGGTTCTGCTACATAGGAGACAACACTTCACCAGTCACAAATGTTCACACAGATAAGTGTGGTTGTGGAGACAACACTTCACCAGTCACAAATGTTCACACAGATAAGTGTGGTTGTGGAGACAACACTTCACCAGTCACAAATGTTCACACAGATAAGTGTGGTTGTGGAGACAACACTTCACCAGTCACAAATGTTCACACAGATAAGTGTGGTTGTGGAGACAACTCTTCACCAGTCACAAATGTTCACACCCAGGCTCAGACAGACTCTGGTCAGGTGCCACTGGCTGTTTTTCTGCCCACATGATGGTAAACACACCCCCCATGTATCAGGCTTACTAAGACTAACAGGATGGCGTTCCATATCTGCCCAGTCATGTTTCACATCTGACCAGTCATGTTCCACACTCATCCATTCTTCTTCTTTTTTTTATATATTTAGGTAGGGGCATTCCCCGCCATCCAAGGAGGCTTCCACAAATGCAGAGCTAATACATGGTGCTCTGGTACTGGGCTCACCCAAGGAATCGTCACGTCCTGATCATGACCTCTCATATATTAAACATCACATACATCATGGGCTATCTCTTTTGTAGCCAACAGTATGCAGCCTGCAGACCTGAGATTTCATTTACCTGCACCACAAAATGAGTACTTTGCTTCTTTTGCATGGTAGACTTTTACTGCAGTGGACTTCCTCATCCACTATAGTTTTACGTGGTTTACAAGCTCTGCATCTCTAGGAACTATCAGTTCAGAGAATCCTGGACTGTTTTATTCTTCTTATACCTTCAGATGTCAGTGTGGATAATTTGAAGAAATCAGCAGTCAACTTGAGGTTGTTGAAATCTCCACACAGTTTATCCTCAAAAGTTGCGGGTGTTAGCCAGAATAATTGTCTCTGTTCTGCATATATTGGGCACTTTTGCAGCAAGTGTTTAGCCGTCATTTTAACCTTTCCCCACTTACAATTATCATCATTGTCTCCTATCTTTAGTTTTTTGAACAAGTGGTGATTCAGCCTATTATGTCCCGTGAGGAGACTTCCCTGATTTAGTTTTTGCAGTCTCTACAAAGTTTGTCTTCACCTTCCCAGATGATAAAACCTTCGATACATGGGGTGATCTGTCAGCCTTCGACATTTTTCTGTTTGTTGCTGGGCTCTGCTGTCTCTCCTATCCTCCATTGGTTGCAGACCCGTGACCTTTTCTAGTTCATTAATAGGCGTTGTTTTCATGGCCCCAGTTATAATCCGCATTCCTTGATTTTGGACTCTACTTATTTTGATAAAGTTTGACTTTGCTACGGTTGCCCAAGCTGCAATACCATATTCAAAGACTGGCCTTACTCGACCAGTGTATAGTTTCTTGAGAACTTTCTCATCAGCTCCCCATGTTGTGCCAGCAAGTTTTTTCATGATTGCCATTCTTTGCCTTGCTCTTGTTCCACTTGCTTCTACCTGTGTCTTCCATGTCAGGCAACAATCAAATGTGACCCCTAGGTATTTTGGATTGTTCTCTTGAAGCAATATTTTTCCATTTACCACTAGCTTAACTGGCTGTTTTTTATATGAACTCATCCATTCTACAACCATGTCTAGCATTTCACTATGTCAAATGTTAAATGTTCCGCTCTCTTTCAAGCTAAAACAGAAATACCCGCCGCTGACTGGTGACACAGAAACACTCCCATGTCGACTGGTGACACAGAAACACCATGTCGGCTGGTGACACTGAAACACCCCCATGTCGACTGGTGACACAGAAACACCATGTCGGCTGGTGACACTGAAACACCCCTATGTCAACTGGTGACACAGAAACACCCCCATGTCAACTGGTGACACAAAAACACCCCCATGTCGACTGGTGACACCAAAGCACCCCCATGTCAACTGGTGACACAGAAACACCCCCATGTCAACTGGTGACACAAAAACACCCACATGTCGACTGGTGACACTGAAACACCCCCATGTCAACTGGTGACACTGAAACACCCCCATGTCAACTGGTGACACAGAAACACCATCATGTCAACTGGTGACACAGAAAAACCCCCATGTCAACTGGTGACACAGAAACACCCTCATGTTGACTGGTGACACAGAAACACCCCTATGTCGACTGGTGACACAGAAACACCCTCATGTTGACTGGTGACACAGAAACACTCCCATGTCGACTGGTGACACAGAAACACCATGTCGGCTGGTGACACTGAAACACCCTCATGTCGACTGGTGACACAGAAACACCCTCATGTTGACTGGTGACACAGAAACACTCCCATGTCGACTGGTGACACAGAAACACCCCCATGTCGACTGGTGACACTGAAACACCCCCATGTCAACTGGTGACACAGAAACACCCCCATGTCAATTGGTGACACAGAAACACCCCCATGTCAACTGGTGACAGAAACACCCTCATGTCAACTGGTGACACAGAAACACCCTCATGTTGACTGGTGACACAGAAACACCCCTATGTCGACTGGTGACACAGAAACACCCTCATGTTGACTGGTGACACAGAAACACTCCCATGTCGACTGGTGACACAGAAACACCATGTCGGCTGGTGACACTGAAACACCCCTATGTCAACTGGTGACACAGAAACACCCCCATGTCAACTGGTGACACAGAAACACCCCCATGTCAACTGGTGACACATAAACACCCTCATGTCAATTGGTGACACAGAAACACCCCCATGTCAACTGGTGACACAGAAACACATCCATGTCAACTGGTGACACAGAAACACTCCCATGTTGACTGGTGACACAGAAACACTCCCATGTTGACTGGTGACACAGAAACACTCCCATGTTGACTGGTGACACTGAAACATATCTAAGTTGACATACATGAGTAGTGTATTAGGTCTGCACTCACGTGCACATACACAGAGGCTACTTACTTGATGTCTGTCGTTGGCGAACAAGATGGAGGCTCTGTGGAAGACACACAGTGGGTTCTTGGGGTCAGCTCTGATGGCCATGTTGAGTGTACTCAAGGCTAAATCTGTTTTCTGCTGAGCATGCTGGGCCTGAAACACAAGTCAGATTGTCTCCACCAACAATGTTCATACAACTCAATCATTTTGCCTCAACCAACAATGTTCACTTAACCCAATCATGTTCTCAACAATGTTCATTCAGCCCAATATAAACTCACCACTACCAGACTGAAATGATCAATATAAACTCACCACTACAAGACTGAAATGATCAATATAAACTCACCACTACCAGATACACTGAAATGATCAATATAAACTCACCACTACCAGATACACTGAAATGATCAATATAAACTCACCACTACCAGATACACTGAAATGATCAATATAAACTCACCACTACCAGATACACTGAAATGATCAATATAAACTCACCACTACCAGATACACTGAAATGATCAATATAAACTCACCACTACCAGATACACTGAAATGATCAATATAAACTCACCACTACCAGATACACTGAAATTATCAATATAAACTCACCTCTACCAGATACACTGAAATGATCAATATAAACTCACCACTACCAGATACACTGAAATGATCAATATAAACTCACCACTACCAGACAGAAATGATCAATATAAACTCACCACTACCAGACAGAAATGATCAATATAAACTCACCACTACCAGACAGAAATGATCAATATAAACTCACCACTACCAGACAGAAATGATCAATATAAACTCACCACTACCAGATACACTGAAATGATCAATATAAACTCACCACTACCAGACTGAAATGATCAATATAAACTCACCACTACCAGACAGAAATGATCAATATAAACTCACCACTACCAGATACACTGAAATGATCAATATAAACTCACCACTACCAGATACACTGAAATGATCAATATAAACTCACCACTACCAGATACACTGAAATGATCAATATAAACTCACCACTACCAGATACATTGAAATGATCAATATAAACTCACCACTACCAGATACACTGAAATGATCAATATAAACTCACCACTACCAGATACACTGAAATGATCAATATAAACTCACCACTACCAGATACACTGAAATTATCAATATAAACTCACCTCTACCAGATACACTGAAATGATCAATATAAACTCACCACTACCAGATACACTGAAATGATCAATATAAACTCACCACTACCAGACAGAAATGATCAACATAAACTCACCACTACCAGACAGAAATGATCAATATAAACTCACCACTACCAGACAGAAATGATCAATATAAACTCAACACTACCAGATAAACTGAAATGATCAATATAAACTCACCACTACCAGACTGAAATGATCAATATAAACTCACCACTACCAGACAGAAATGATCAATATAAACTCACCACTACCAGATACACTGAAATGATCAATATAAACTCACCACTACCAGATACACTGAAATGATCAATATAAACTCACCACTACCAGACAGAAATGACCAATATAAACTCACCACTACCAGATACACTGAAATGATCAATATAAACTCACCACTACCAGATACACTGAAATGATCTATATAAACTCACCACTACCAGATACACTGAAATGATCAATATAAACTCACCACTACCAGACAGAAATGATCAATATAAACTCACCACTACCAGACAGAAATGATCAATATAAACTCACCACTACCAGACACACTGAAATTATCAATATAAACTGACCACTACCAGATACACTGAAATGATAAATATAAACTCACCACTACCAGATACACTGAAATGATCAATATAAACTCACCACTACCAGATACACTGAAATGATCAATATAAACTCACCACTACCAGATACACTGAAATGATCAATATAAACTCACCACTACCAGATACACTGAAATGATCAATATAAACTTACCACCGCCACACACAGTAAAATTACCAATATAAATTCACCACTACTACATACAGTAAAATTACCAATATAAACTCACCACTGCCACACACAGTAAAATTACCAATATAAACTCACCACTGCCACACACAGTAAAATTACCAATATAAACTCACCGCTACCACACACAGTAAAATTACCAATATAAACTCACCACTACCACACACAGTAAAATTACCAATATAAACTCACCACTACCACACACAGTAAAATTACCAATATAAACTCACCACTGTCACACACAGTAAAATTACCAATATAAACTCACCACTACCACACACAGTAAAATTACCAATATAAACTCACCACTATCATACACAGTAAAATAACCAATATAAACTCACCACTGCCAAACACACTGAAATGATCAATATAAACTCACTACTCCCACAGTGAAATGATCAATATAAACTTACTACTCCCACAGTGAAATCATCAATATAAACTCACTTCTCCCACAGTGAAATCATCAATATAAACTCACTTCTCCCACAGTGAAATCATCAATATAAAATCACTAGGACTTCCGTTTTCAAAATGGCGGACAGCAGCTGTGTTTATTTTCGCTGGCTGTCAATTCTCTCGGATTATTCTGTTTCATAAACATGGACTGTTATTTTATGCGCATTTCCAACGCAGGATATTATGTGTTTTTCGTGGGAACAGCGTGTATTGTGGTTGTGCTGTGTCGGGGCGGGATAATAACCGATAGTTTTGGCAGCCTCAGCCACGTTGCCTTCGCAATGTTTTGATCGCGGCGGTCTACTCGGGAAGACAGAATCTCGTCAGCAGGGGACTGCAACTGTCTAGAGAGCAAACACGATAAAAGCTGTCCCCAGAAACGGAATGTGTCAACCATATATTTGGTGGGGAGGAATCGACACTTACGGTTAACTCAATGGCCAGGCCAAATCACTACTCCAACAGTGAAATCATCAATATAAACTCACTACTCTAACACACACAGTGAAATCACCAATATAAACTCACTACTCCCACAGTGAAATCATCAATATAAACTCACTACTCCCACAGTGAAATCATCAATATAAACTCACTACTCCCACAGTGAAATCATCAATATAAACTCACTACTCCCACAGTGAAATCATCAATATAAACTCACTACTCCCACAGTGAAATCATCAATATAAACTCACTACTCCCATAGTGAAATCATCAATATAAACTCACTACTCCCACAGTGAAATCATCAATATAAACTCACTACTCTCACAGTGAAATCATCAATATAAACTCACTACTCCCACAGTGAAATCATCAATATAAACTCACTACTCTCACAGTGAAATCATCAATATAAACTTACTACTCCCACAGTGAAATGATCAATATAAACTCACTACTCCCACAGTGAAATCAAAAATATAAACTCACTACTCCCACAGTGAAATCATCAATATAAACTCACTACTCCCACAGTGAAATCATCAATATAAACTTACTACTCTAACACACAGAGTGAAATCACCAATATAAACTCACTACTCCCACAGTGAAATTATCAATATAAACTCACTACTCCCACATTGAAATCACCAAAATAAACTCACTACTCTAACACACACAGTGAAATCTTACTTACTTACTTACTTAGTCGCTCCTCTTCTACCTTGGGGTGTAGAGATTTGCCAGAGAGATCGCCAGACGTCTCTATCAGCAGTTTTCTGTCTGGCTTTGTTCCATTCCATTCCACTGTCAGTCAGGGACTGTCGGATGTTGTCTTCCCAGCGCACCCTGGGTCGTCCCGGAGGTCTGATTCCCTGGTTCTTAGCCTCCCATGCTTGCCATGGTGGCCGATTTTCTCCCATTCTGCACACATGTCCAAACCATCGTAACTGTGACTGATCCACTCAGGTTAGTAAGGGCTGGGTATCAAGATCTTGACGTATTGTCTGATTGCAGACTTTGTCCCTTCTTGTCACTTGGACCACCTTTCTCAGGTATCTCATTTCCGAGGCCTGCAGCTGGCTTCTCTGAGCTGTTGTCATTGCCCATGACTCACACCCATAGGTCAGGACTGGTACATATGTAGAGCGGTAAACAGCCATTTTTGTCCTCTTGCCAATTTCTCTTTTGCTAAGAAACCCTCGGTTTATGGCCTGGAAGAGTCTCCCAGCAGCTGCTTTTCGTGTAGCCAGCTCAGTCTTAATGCCTCCATTTTGGTCTAATACCTAACACACACAGTGAAATCATCAATATAAACTCACTACTCCCACAGTGAAATCATCAATATAAACTCACTACTCCCACAGTGAAATCACCAATATAAACTCACTACTCTAACACACACAGTGAAATCACCAATATAAACTCACTACTCCCACAGTGAAATTACCAATATAAACTCACTACTCCCACAGTGAAATCACCAATATAAACTCACTACTCCCACAGTGAAATGACCAATTTAAACTCAATACTCCCACAGTGAAATCACCAATATAAACTCACTACTCCCACAGTGAAATCACCAATATAAACTCACTACTCCCACAGTGAAATCATCAAACATAAACTCGCTACTCCAACAGTGAAATCACCAATATAAACTCACTACTCTAACACACACAGTGAAATCACCAATATAAACTCACTACTCCCACAGTGAAATCACCAATATAAACTCACTACTCCCACAGTGAAATCACCAATATAAACTCACTACTCCCACAGTGAAATCACCAATATAAACTCACTACTCCCACAGTGAAATCATCAAACAAACTCGCTACTCCAACAGTGAAATCACCAATATAAACTCACTACTCCCACAGTGAAATCATCAATATAAACTCACTACTTTCACAGTGAAATGACCAATATAAACTCACTACTCTAACACACACAGTGAAATCACCAATATAAAATCACTACTCTAACACACACAGTGAAATCACCAATATAAACTCACTACTCCCACAGTGAAATTATCAATATAAACTCACTACTCCCACACTGAAATGATCAATATAAACTCACTTCTCCCACAGTGAAATCACCAATAAAAACTCACTACTTCCACAGTGAAATCATCAATATAAACTCACTTCTCCCACAGTGAAATCATCAATATAAACTTACTACTCCTACAGTGAAATCATCAATATAAACTCACTACTCCCACAGTGAAATGAAATCATCAATATAAACTCACTACTCCCACAGTGAAATGAAATCATCAATATAAACTCACTACTCCCACAGTGAAATCATCAATATAAACTCACTACTCCCATAGTGAAATCATCAATATAAACTCACTACTCCCACAGTGAAATCATCAATATAAACTCACTACTCCCACAGTGAAATCATCAATATAAACTCACTACTCCCACAGTGAAATCATCAATATAAACTCACTACTCCCACAGTGAAATCACCAATAAAAACTCACTACTCCCACAGTGAAATCACCAATAAAAACTCACTTCTCCCACAGTGAAATCATCAATATAAACTTACTACTCCTACAGTGAAATCATCAATATAAACTCACTACTCCCACAGTGAAATCATCAATATAAACTCACTACTCCCACAGTGAAATCATCAATAAAAACTCACTACTCCCACAGTTAAATTACCAATATAAACTTACTAATCTTAACACACACAGGGAAATCACCAAAATAAACTTACCATTCACGCAGAGAAATCATCAAATTAAACTCACCACTCCCACGTGACACATGAGCACCGAGCTCTGTGGGTTGATAGACAATGCTTTCCTATAGTGAACTTCTGCCAGACTGAACTTCTCTTGCTTGTAATAGATGATGCCCACACCGTACCTAGTGGCAATCAGATTCACAAACTCATCACACACTGAAAACTAAATACAAACACTATACACTGAAATACAGGAAATATCAACATGATCTATTCCAAACATGATACACTGAAGAAAAAAAACTATGAATAAAAAATGGATTGACCAAAAGAAATGCAATTTCATTAATCAGATTTCAATGTCAGGTTGAGTAACTCTTGACGTTTGTGTAGCTCCAACCTGTGTCTTAGGCATACATCAGGGAAACAAACAATGTCAGGTTGAGTAACTAAAGACGTATGTTTAGCTCCACCCTGTGTCTCAGGCATACATCAGGGAAACAAACAATGTCAGGTTGAGTAACTAAAGACGTATGTTTAGCTCCACCCTGTGTCTCAGGCATACATCAGAGAAACAAACAATGTCAGGTTGAGTAACTCAAGACGTATGTTTGGTTCCACCCTGTGTTACAGGCATCCATCAAAGAAACAATGTCAGGTTGAGTAACTCAGGACGTATGTGTAGCTCCACCCTGTGTCTCAGGCATACATCAGAGAAACAAACAATGTCAGGTTGAGTAACTCAAGACGTATGTTTGGTTCCACCCTGTGTTACAGGCATCCATCAAAGAAACAATGTCAGGTTGAGTAACTCAAGACGTATGTTTGGTTCCACCCTGTGTTACAGGCATCCATCAAAGAAACAATGTCAGGTTGAGTAACTCAAGACGTATGTTTGGTTCCACCCTGTGTTACAGGCATACTAGACGTATATCAGGCTCCACCATTCCTGGTAGTGTCTTCAGATGTTTCCCAAGGAAACTTAAAAATGGACTCAAACCCGCACTCACTATGCCTAATAGTGTCTTCCTATGTTTAACCAGAACACTAAAACTAGGGACTCAAACCCACACTCACCATGCCTGATAGTGTCTGGGGTCCAGGCGTATGGCATTCCTGAAACAGGTCATGGCCTTGTCAAACTCTTCCAGGTAGATGTACTCCAGGGCCAACAGACTGTAGGCATAGACAAAGTTGGGATCCACCTGCAAAGAAACACATTACAGAGATCAAAGACTCACAGATACATCACAGAAATAAAAGACTCACACACATACATCACAGAGATCAAAGACTCTCACACATACATCACAGTGATCAAAGACTTACACACATACATCACAGAGATCAAAGACACACATACATAACAGAGATCAAAGACTTACACACATACATCACAGAGATCAAAGACTCACACATACATCACAGAGATCAAAGACTCACACATACATCACAGTGATCAAAGACTTACACATACATCACAGAGATCAAAGACACACAGACATAACAGTGATCAAAGACTTACACATACATCACAGAGATCAAAGACTCACACATACATCACAGTGATCAAAGACTCACACCCATACATCACAGAGATCAAAGACACACATACATCACAGTGATCAAAGACTTACACATACATCACAGAGATCAAAGACTCACACATACATCACAGAGATCAAAGACTCACACATACATCATAGTGATCAAAGACTCACACGCATACATCACAGAGATCAAAGACTCACACATACATCACAGTGATCAAAGACTCACACATACATCACAGTGATCAAAGACTCACACATACATCACAGAGATCAAAGACACACACATACATCACAGTGATCAAAGACTCACACATACATCACAGAGATCAAAGACTCACACATACATCACAGAGATCAAAGACTCACACATACATCACAGAGATCAAAGACTCATACATACATCACAGAGATCAAATACTCACACATACATCACAGTGATCAAAGACTCACACATACATCACAGAGATCAAAGACTCACACATACATCACAGAGATCAAAGACACACACATACATCACAGTGATCAAAGACTCACACATACATCACAGAGATCAAAGACTCACACATACATCACAGAGATCAAAGACACACAGATACATCACAGAGATCAAAGACTTACACACATACATCACAGAGATCAAAGACTTACACACATAAATCACAAAGATCAAAGATTTACACACATATATCACAGAGATCAAAGACTCACACACATACATCACAGTGATCAAAGACTTACACACATACATAACAGAGATCAAAGATTCACACATACATCACAGATATCAAAGACTCACACATACATCACAGAGATCAAAGACTCACACATACATAACAGAGATTAAAGACTCACACATACATCACAGAGATCAAAGACTCACACATACATCACAGTGGTCAAAGACTCACACATACATCACAGAGATCAAAGACTCACACATACATCACAGTGGTCAAAGACTCACACATACATCACAGAGATCAAAGACTCACACATACATCACAGTGGTCAAAGACTCACACATACATCACAGAGATCAAAGACTCTCACACATACATCACAGAGATCAAAGACTCACACACATACATCACAGAGATCAAAGACACACACACATACATCACAGAGATCAAAGACTCACACACATACATCACAGAGATCAAAGACACACATACATCACAGAGATCAAAGATTCACACATACATCACAGATATCAAAGCCTCACACATACATCACAGAGATCAAAGACTCACACACATACATCACAGAGATCAAGGACACACATATTTCACAGAGATTAAAGACTGACACACATTCATCACAGAGATCAAAGACTCACACATACATCACAGACACCAAAGACTTACACACATACATCACAGAGATCAAAGACTTACACACATACATCACAGAAATCAAAGACTCACACATACATCACAGAGATCAAAGACACACACATACATAACAGAGATCAAAGACTCACACATACATAACAGAGATCAAAGACACACATACATAACAGAGATCAAAGACTCACATACATCACAGAGATCACAGACTCACACATACATAACAGAGATCAAAGACTCACACATACATCACAGAGATCAAAGACTCACACATACATAACAGAGATCAAAGACTCACATACATCACAGAGATCAAAGACTCACACATACATCACAAGAGATCAAAGACTCACACATACATCACAGAGATCAAAGACTCACACATACATCACAAGAGATCAAAGACTCACACACATACATCACAGAGATCAAAGACTCACACATACATCACAGAGATCAAAGACTCACACATACATAACAGAGATCAAAGACACACACATACATCACAGAGATCAAAGACTTACACACATACATCACAGAGATCAAAGACTCACATACATCACAGAGATCAAAGACTCACACACATACATCACAGAGATCAAAGAGACACACACATACATCACAGTGATCAAAGACTCACACATACATCACAGAGATCAAAGACACACACATACATCACAGAGATCAAAGACACACACATGTATGCATTCTTAGTGATTTGATGAATATGCTTTAAAAAATCAAAGCTGGATTTTTCAGGCAAGAATGGAACAGCACAAAGCCATTCACGAATATCTGCCCTAACCTTCATCTTTGTGCCAGGTCATGCGGGTGTTTAAGGAAACCAGCGTGCAGACTATCTTGCTGACACTGCAGTTGCCATGGCTGGTCCAGTACTGGACAGAAGTGATGTTATCAATGCCATGTACTGCACTTACCGTACCGAGGAGCACACCAAAGGACATGACTCCATATCCCTGTCTAGACTGCTGGACATGTGGGTGCAGCCTGGATGAACATTTCACTAAGAGGACAAGACGTTTCATTAACCAACACAGAACAGGCATCATCAGCCATTTTACACTTGTGAAGCTTTTGAGCAGGAGATCGGAGCATCTGTGGGTCTCTGTCTGCAGTGCTGTGATGATAATCTTTTCTAATCCCTAATCACACAAATCACAAAGATGACATTCCCATACACAAATCACAGAGATGACATTCCCACACATAAATCCCAGAGATGACATTCCCACACATAAATCACAGAGATGACATTCCCACACATAAATCCCAGAGATGACATTCCCACACATAAATCACAGAGATGACATTCCCACACATAAATCACAGAGATGACATTCCCACACATAAATTACAGAGATGACATTCCCACACATAAATCACAGAGATGACATTCCCACACATAAATCAGTGGAGGAACTGAAAGGATGAGTATGTGAGCCTTGTAGACACCACACACCTCTGTACTAGAGACACCACATACCTCTGTACTAGAGACACCACACACCTCTGTACTAGAGGCACCACACACCTCTGTACTAGAGACACCACACACCTCTGTACTAGAGGCACCACACACCTCTGTACTAGAGACACCACACACCTCTGTACTAGAGACACCACACACCTCTGTACTAGAGACACCACACACCTCTGTATTAGAGGCACCACACACCTCTGTACTAGAGACACCACATACCTCTGTACTAGAGAAAGACAGTAAAACTCACCTGGATGGCTACAAACCTCTGTACTAGAGGAAGACAGTAAAACTCACTAGGATGCCACATACCTCTGTACTAAAGAAAGACAGTAAAACTCACCTGGATGGCTACATACCTCTGTACTAGAGAAAGACAGTAAAACTCATCACCTGGATGGCTACATACCTCTGTACTAAAGACAGTAAAACTCATCACCTGGATGGCTACATACCTCTGTACTAGAGAAAGGCAGTAAAACTCACCTGGATGGCTTCATACCTCTGTACTAGAGAAAGACAGTAAAACTCACCTGGATGCCACATACCTCTGTACTAGAGAAAGACAGTAAAACTCACCTGGATGGCTACATACCTCTGTACTAGAGAAAGACAGTAAAACTCACCTGGATGGCTACAAACCTCTGTACTAGAGGAAGACAGTAAAACTCACTAGGATGCCACATACCTCTGTACTAAAGAAAGACAGTAAAACTCACCTGGATGGCTACATACCTCTGTACTAGAGAAAGACAGTAAAACTCATCATCTGGATGGCTACATACCTCTGTACTAAAGACAGTAAAACTCATCACCTGGATGGCTACATACCTCTGTACTAGAGAAAGGCAGTAAAACTCACCTGGATGGCTTCATACCTCTGTACTAGAGAAAGACAGTAAAACTCACCTGGATGCCACATACCTCTGTACTAGAGAAAGACAGTAAAACTCACCTGGATGGCTACATACCTCTGTACTAGAGAAAGACAGTAAAACTCACCTGGATGCCACATACCTCTGTACTAGAGAAAGGCAGTAAAACTCACCTGGATAGCTACATACCTCTGTACTAGAGGAAGACAGTAAAACTCACCTGGATGGCTACATCCCTCTGTACTAGAGGAAGACAGTAAAACTCACCTGGGTGTCTACATACCTCTGTACTAGAGAAAGACAGTAAAACTCACCTGGATGGCTCTCTGGAAGAACTTGATGGCAACGTCATGCTCCTTCTGCAGGCTGAAACAGTTGCCTGTAGCAAACCAGGCTTGGGGAGCTGTCTTGTCCAAGGCTGTGAGCTCTTGGGCCAGCAGAGACAGCTCCACTTCTTTGTGCAGGTGCCACAACACAGAACTGTAGAAGTCCAGGCCTTCGATGTGGTAGGGCTCCAGTCTCCTCACCTCCTCAAATACTCTGGCTGCCTGCAAGAAGAGTCAAACACTGAAACATACCAGCATCTAGGCAACTATCTTCACACAAACCACATCCATACCTTGACAAGTGGTCCAGTTTTCTACCACAAACCAACATGAAATCAGTCATGGAAAAGAATGAAACGAATAAGGTTGTCATCACACTGGGAAGATACTACAGGGATCAGATTCCTGCAACCGTAGACACAGTGGTAAGGGCACTGACAGACAGCATTCACACCCAGAAGACATCATCTTCACAGATGGATCCGTGAAATGCGGATCAAGGTCAGCATGGGAATACACAGCGCAAAGAAGGGGGAAAACAATACAGGAGGACAGCGGTGCTTACAAGACAACCACATCAAGCATGACCATGGAAACAGCCGCTGCTTCTAGAGCATTAGTTTGGGTATCCGAGCAAACCGCCACACAGGCAGTTATTGTACCAGACTCCATGAACATGATTCAGAAGGTAGCAACAGGTGGTATGTGCTATGAATGGGTAGAATCATTTGAAAAAGGCACTTAACCTCTCTCAGCTGGATCTACATACCTGGTCATGCAGGCGTAAAGGGTAATGAGCAAATGAATCAAATTGCAAGCACTGCACTCACGCATGTGGGAAGGAGCATGAACAGAGCAGATATGGTCAACACTGTACAGACTGGGCTAGCGGATAATGAGGAATCTCTGACACTAACATGACTGACATGGGAGTAAAGCATTGGGAAGCACATCTATGCCGCCTTTGAGACCGAGATAGAAAACATTATTACCAACCTTTTGTGGGAACAATTTGTGGAAGTAACTTGTAGTGGCTGCTGCATTGGAGGACTGAGCACACATGGAAATGCTAAATGTGCAGTAACTTTGACTATGATAACATAACACCAACATCTAGACAAGTACTCCAGTTTTTTACTACAAATCACATCAGCATTAGACAAGTGCTCCAGTTTTCTACTACAAATCCCAACATCTAGACAAGTGCTCCAGTTTTCTACTACAAATCCCAACATCTAGACAAGTGCTCCAGTTTTCTACTACAAATCCCAACATCTAGACAAGTGCTCCAGTTTTCTACCACAAATCACATATCAACTTTCTGACAACACCAGGACCCATCCTCGACAGCAAACAATGATCTTCAACATTCCGACAACAACACAGGGACCCATCCTCGACAGCAAACAATGATCTTCAACATTCCGACAACAACACAGGGACCCATCCTCGACAGCAAACAATGATCTTCAACGTTCCGACAACAACACAGGGACCCATCGACAGCAAACAATGCACACAAAGTACCAGACAAGAGCAGTGGATTCAAGGGAAAACACCAAATACCTTCTGATATACTGTGATCTCAAGGCAAACACACCATATGCCTTTTGATATTCTCTGGTCTCAAAAAGGGAAAAACACTACATACCTATTGATATTCTCTGGTCTCAATAAGGAAAAAAGATTCAAACCTTTTGATATTCTCTGGTCTCAATAAGGGAAAAGACTCAAACCTTTTGATATTCTCTGGTCTCAATAAGGAAAAACACTACATACCTTTTGATATTCTAAGGTCTCAATAAGGAAAAACACTACATAACTTTTGATATTCTAAGGTCTCAATAAGGAAAAAAAACTACATACCTTTTGATATTCTGTGAGTTCATAATAGGCTCGTCCAACCTGGCAGAGAACCCAACCTGTGGTGTACTGGTGGTCTGGCAACTCGGAGAAGAGGTCAATGGCCTGCTTACAATCGTAGCGAGACAGAGCACTGTAGGCAGTTCCCACGTTCCTCAGCAAATGCAGGATTCCAGCTGTGTTCAAAACATCAGCTAGTCAACATTTATTTGTTCCTGTTCTCAACTATCTTTCAACAACATATCAACTAGACTATTTTGCATAAATAACCCATAGCAACATAAAACTATATGAGGTATCACACAAATACCCCACAACATCATACAATCTATATAAATGTATCACACAAATACCCCACAACATCATACAATCTATATAAACGTATCACACAAATACCCCACAACATCATACAATCTATATAAACGTATCACACAAATACCCCACAACATCATACAATCTATATAAACGTATCACACAAATACCCCACAACATCATACAATCTATATAAACGTATCACACAAATACCCCCACAACATACAAACAACTGTCTCCCATAACCAAAGATTACCCCACGTCTCTCCTATCTTTGGTTACCCACTTCATCTCCCCTATCACATCTCCCTTATTTTCAGCTACCTACCCCATCTACCCTATCTTCAGCTACCTACCCCATCTTCCCTTTCTTGAAGCTACCTACCACAACTTCCCTATCTTCAGCTACCTACCACATCTCCCCTTTCTTGAAGCTGCCTACCACATCTCCCCTTTCTTGAAGCTACCTACCACATCTTCCCTTTCTTGAAGCTACCTACCACAACTTCCCTATCTTCAGCTACCTACCACATTTCCCCTTTCTTGAAGCTGCCTACCACATCTCCCCTTTCTTGAAGCTACCTACCACATCTCCCCTTTCTTGAAGCTACCTACCACATCTCCCCTTTCTTGAAGCTACCTACCACATCTCCCCTTTCTTGAAGCTACCTACCACATCTCCCCTTTCTTGAAGCTACCTACCACATCTTCCCTTTCTTGAAGCTACCTACCACATCTTCCCTTTCTTGAAGCTACCTACCACATCTCCGCTTTCTTGAAGCTACCTACCCCATCTTCCCTTTCTTGAAGCTACCTACCACATCTCCCCTTTCTTGAAGCTACCTACCACATCTCCCCTTTCTTGAAGCTACCTACCACAACTCCCCTAACTTCAGCTACCTACCACATCTCCCCTTTCTTGAAGCTACCTACCACATGTTCCCTTTCTTGAAGCTACCTACCACATCTTCCCTTTCTTGAAGCTATCTACCATATCTTCCATTTCTTGAAGCTACCTACCACAACTTCCCTATCTTCAGCTACCTACCACATCTTCCCTTTCTTGAAGCTACATACCACATCTCCCCTATCTTCAGCTACCTATTACATCTCCCCTAACCAGCTACCTACCACATCTCCCTTTCTTGAAGCTACCTACCACATCTCCCTTTCTTGAAGCTACCTACCACATCTCCATTTCTTGAAGCTACCTACCACATCTCCCCTTTTTTGAAGCTACCTACCACTTCTTCCATTCTTGAAGCTACCTACCACATCCCCCCCCCCCCCCCCCACATTCAATTACATACCAGATATCTGCTATCTGTGGCGACCTACTACCACATCTGCCAGCTATAACCTGTGATCCAACTACCTGACCAACACTCACCAAGCGACTGTTGCTGCATCTGGACAATCTGTTCCACAGTGTCAGAGTTGGCAGACGCACACTTAGTGTCCACAGTCAGCTCACCTGAAACATGGCCAACCACACCACATTGTCACCCACGTCAACTGTCTACACACAATAATGAACATGCTAGACTAACATCTGTCTGTGTGGGCTGACATGTCTGTCTGTGTAGAGAGATGTTTGTCTGTCTGTGTAGAGAGATGTTTGTCTGTCTGTGTAGAGAGATGTTTGTCTGTCTGTGTAGAGAGATGTTTGTCTGTCTGTGTGGGGAGACATGTCTGTCTGTGTGGAGAGACATGTCTGTCTGTGTGGAGAGACATGTCTGTCTGTGTGGGGACGCTCCTAAAGAGAGCACAAATGCGGCAATAAGCAAAAGGTTTGTTCCCTGTGCCTGGTGGCTACACACGGATCATGTTCTCCCAGGCTTGCTTCCTGTGTCCTGGTGGCTACACACGGATCATGTTCTCCCAGGCTTGTTTCCTGTGCCTGGTGGCTACACAGGGATAATGTTCTCCCAGGCTTGTTTCCTGTGCCTGGTGGCTACACAGGGATAATGTTCTCCCAGGTTTGTTCCCTGTGCCTGGTGGCTACACAGGGATAATGTTCTCCCAGGCTTGTTCCCGGTGCCTGGTGGCTACACAGGGATAATGTTCTCCCAGGTTTGTTCCCTGTGCCTGGTGGCTACACAGGGATAATGTTCTCCCAGGCTTGTTCCCGGTGCCTGGTGGCTACACAGGCATAATGTTCTCCTAGGTTTGTTCCCTGTGCCTGGTGGCTACACAGGCATAATGTTCTCCCAGGCTTGCTTCCTGTGCCCTGGTGGCTACACAGGCATAATGTTCTTCCAGGCTTGCTTCCTGTGCCCTGGTGGCTACACAGGCATAATGTTCTCCAAGGCTTGCTTCCTGTGTCCTGGTGGCTACACAGAGATAATGTTCTCCAAGGCTTGCTTCCTGTGCCCTGGTGGGTACACAGGGATCATGTTCTCAAAGGCTTGCTTCCTGTGCCCTGGTGGCTACACAGAGATAATGTTCTCCAAGGCTTGCTTCCGGTGCCCTGGTGGGTACACAGAGATAATGTCACAGGCTTGCTCCCTGTGCCTGGTGGGTACACAGGGATAATGTTCTCACAGGCTTGCTTCCTGTGCCCTGGTGGGTACATAGAGATAATGTCACAGGCTTGCTTCCTGTGCCCTGGTGGGTACACAGAGATAATGTTCTCCAAGGCTTGCTTCCTGTGCCCTGGTGGGTACACAGAGATAATGTTCTCCAAGGCTTGCTTCCTGTGCCCTGGTGGGTACACAAAGATAATGTTCTCACAGGCTTACTTCCTGTGTCCTGGTGGGTACACAGAGATAATGTTCTCACAGGCTTGCTTCCTGTGTCCTGGTGGGTACATAGAGATAGTTCTCCAAGGCTTGCTTCCGGTGCCCTGGTGGGTACACAGAGATAATGTTCTCCAAGGCTTGTTCCCTGTGCCTGGTGGGTACACAAAGATAATGTTCTCCAAGGCTTGCTTCCAGTGTCCTGGAGACTCCTGCTCTGTATACACTGAAAACTGGCAATATTCCAAACGAAATCATGACTGGAGGCTTCACTGTCCTTGCATGCACAAGCCAAAAGTGGCCCAGGCCAGAAACCTCCCATGTGTGGTATGTAAACACGACAGCGCTGCAGTAGATGTCTGTTCAAGCTGTATGGAAGTGTCAGCAACTACAGGGTCGAACTTACCTTTGTTGATCTCATTGAGTTCTTGCTGAGATTTGGTAGTCCGCTTGGAGCGCTTGTTGAGACCTTTGCTTCCTGTCAACGTTCCAGGACTCTGTCCTTTATTGTTTTCCTGTGTAATCAAACAGCATCAGTAGAGAGCAAGCCACATCAGATCATGACAAGCATCAACATCAATCATCAAGAGAAACACTAGACATGACCACTGGAACACAATAGTCATGACTAATGGAAAACACTAGACATGACCACTGGAACACAATAGTCATGACTAATGGAAAATACTAGACATGACCACTGGAACACAATAGTCATGACTAATGGAAAACACTAGACATGATCACTGGAACACAATAGTCATGACTAATGGAAAACACTAGACATGATCACTGGAACACAATAGTCATGACTAATGGAAAACACTAGACATGATCACTGGAAAACACTAGACATGATCACTGGAAAACACTAGACATGACCACTGGAACACAATAGTCATGACTAATGGAAAACACTAGACATGACCACTGGAACACAATAGTCATGACTAATGGAAAACACTAGACATGATCACTGGAAAACACTAGACATGATCACTGGAAAACGACAGACATGATCACTGGAAATCCCCAGACATGATCACTGGAAAACACTAGACATGATCACTGGAAATCCCCAGACATGATCACTGGAACACAACAGACATGATAAACTGGAAAACCACAGACATGATCACTGGAAAACCAGACATGATCATTGGAAAACCACAGACATGATCACTGGAAAACCCCAGACATGATCACTGGAAAACCACAGACATGATCACTGGAAAACCACAGACATGATCACTGGAAAACCACAGACATGATCACTGGAAAACCACAGACATGATCACTGGAAAATCACAGATATGATCACTGGAAAACCACAGACATGATCACTGGAAAACCACAGATATGATCACTGGAAAACCACAGATATGATCACTGGAAAACCACAGACATGATCACTGGAAAACCACAGACATGATCATTGGAAAACCACAAACATGATCACTGGAAAACCACAGACAAGACCACTGGAAAACAACAGACATGGTCACTGGAAAATGACAGACATGACCACTGGAAAACGACAGACATGATCACTGGAAAACGACAGACATGATCACTGGAAAACAATATGACCAAAGAAAAACATCAGATATGAAAACAAACGTGATGCAAATGACCATCAGACCACATCAATCACAAACATTAACTGCGCATCATCATCAAGTGGATGTTGCCTCCACAAATCTGTGACAGTCCATGATTGACAGTCACACAATGACTCAAACAAATCAGCCCTGTCTGATTAATGAAACCAAATCAGCCGTCTGAAAAAATGAAACCAAATCAGCCTTGTCTGAAAAAATGAAACCAAATCAGCCTTGTCTGAAAAAATGAAACCAAATCAGCCCTGTCTGATTAATGACTGAGTGATAATATGCAAGCACAATCTGGACAAACAAGACAGTCCCGTACATGTGACCCCTGCCTACCTTGACTGCACTGGAGTTGGAATTAGAGTTGGTAAAAAGTCTGGAGCTTCTCCGTATCGGTGCATTTCTGGAGAACAATTAGCAAGTCTAAGTCAGGATTGTGTGTCTGCATGTGTGTGTGTCTCTCTCTCTCTCTCTCTCAAGTATGAATGAAAGCAATAATTACAAGTTGATGATCAGACTAATGGACACCTGCAGCAATGCGACTGCAAGACTGGGAGTCTCCCTGGCATGGCGGCTAGACGTTTGCATGTGGATCGGAAGGCTATGGGTTCGCTCCAAGGCAGAATCAGACTTTTTTCAAAAAAATGACCTTGACTCCCAGGTCGACCCAGCCTCAAGTGGGTACCGGGTGCAGTCCCGGGAAGTAAAGGCAGCCGGCGTGATACTGACCACCTCAGCCATCTTGTGCCGACTGGTCTATACAGATATAGGTCTAGCCCTAAATGCCAAAAGGTGTGGGGAAAAGGGGGCTGCATAACTAGACATGTGCCTGGGACAAGATGATTCTCAACCAGGTCAATTATTAGATAGAGCATTCTCGACACGGTCAAGTAATAGACGAGAACATTCTAGACCAGGTTAAGTTCTAGACAAGAACATTCTAGACATGGTCAAGTATTAGACAAGAATATTCTAGACCAGGTCAAGTATTAGACAAGAATACTCTAGACCAGGTCAAGTACTAGACATGAACACATTCTAGACCAGGTCAAGTATTAGACAAGGACATTCTAGACCAGGTCAAGTATTAGACAAGAACATTCTAGATAAAGTATAGTACTAGACAAGAACATTCCAGACAAGGTTTAGTATAAGATAAGAACATTCTAGATAAGGTCAAGTATTAGACAAGAACATTCTAGACCAGGTCAAGTATTAGACAAGGACATTCTAGACCAGGTCAAGTATTAGACAAGAACATTCTAGATAAAGTATAGTAATAGACAAGAACATTCCAGACAAGGTTTAGTATAAGATAAGAACATTCTAGATAAGGTCAAGCATTGAACAAGAACATTTTAGACAGGGTTCATAGCCAAATTTACCTATCAATTTCAAGACTTTTCAAGATATCCTTAGTTTTTTTTCAAGGTTTTCTCTGAGTAATACTGAAACAAGGTATTTTTGCCCTGTTCAAGGGTGTATCGTGCACACAAGGTACTTCATTCATGCACACACATGTGGGTATACCAGCACAGATATAGTGTTTTTACATTTTCCTTTAGAATTGGTGGCAGAGGGGCCAAACTGAAGTCCTATCTGTTCTAGACATGGTACATAAAGGACAAAGAAAGAAAGAGAGAGAGAGAGAGAGTTATACAGGGAGGGAGGAAGAAGACAGATGTGAGGTAGAGTGGGAGAGACAGTGTAAACGAGAAAGAGACAGTGGGTAAAGAGGGACAGGCAGGTAGAGATTGACAGATGAAGAGAGGGTGAAGAAGGAAAAGAGAGACAGGCGGAAGGAAGAAAAAAGATGACAAAGAGGGAGGGATCGATGATGAGGGGGAGAGAGTGAAAGAAGAGAGGGAGACAAATACGGAAAGAGGGACATGCTGACAGAGATGGGCAGACGAAGAAGAGAAAAAAAAAATGAGACATGGAACGAGGAAACATATAGAAAAAGAGAGTTGGAGGGAGGAAGACGGAGGGAGAGAGAAGGGACAGAGAGAGAGAGGGAGATGCAAGCAGAGATGTAGAAAGAAAAGAGAGAAAAACAGAGGGACAGTATAGAGAGGCAAACATACAGAGGGAAAGAACCAAAGAGAAAGGAAAAATGCAGAGCAGGAGAATGGAAGGGATGTATACAAAAAAGGAAGTGATGGAGAGAGGCAAAAAGACATAAAGCAAGAGAGAGAAAAATATTGAGGAGGGCAGTGACAGAGATAAAGAGAGAGGGGTAGGTAGGGAGACAAGACAGAGAGTAAAAATATGTCAGAATTGCTAACAAAGATAACAATACATCAAAGGAAAAAGCACCAGCCTCATGCTGAAAAAACACCCACTCCCCCAAACATAACACAATTTCATGTGTACTGTACACAACCAATAGGAAAAGACGGTTATGGCAAATATAGTAAATGAGAAAAAAAAAAGGGGGGGGGGGGAGAAAGGGAGAGAGGGAGTGGGAGTGAGAGAGATAGGGGAATAGCGTAAAAAATATACAGTAAATAAGGGAAGATGGAGAGAAGACAGAAAGAATAGATGAAAATGAGGGAGAGCAAGAAAAAACAGAGTAAGGAAAGGAAGAGAGGAAGGATGGAGAGAGAAAGAAAAAGAGAGAGTAGAAGAGTGAAAGATCAAAGGAAAGAGAAGGGGTGAGAGAATAGAAGGATGACGTTGGTGGAAAAGGGGGGGGGGGGGGGGGAATGTGTTAGAACACTGAGTGCCAAAAGCAGATTGAGAAATCTAAGTGATGTGACCATGACCTCTCCTGCCCCATGCTTGGCTGTCCCCACGTGGCTGTGACCATGACCCCTCCTGCCCCATGCTTGGCTGTCCCCATGTGGCTGCGGCCTTGACCCTTCCCGCCCCATGTTGCTGCTAGAGTTCCATTTTTACACTCAAGGCCGGGTGGACCTGGGAACCAAGGTCATTTCTGACCACAGTAACTGCCACATTGAACATAAAAACAGGTCATGTACTAGTGGATCATTTCTGATTCTACAGGTCATGTACTAGCGGATCATTTCTGATTCTACGGGTCATGTACTAGCGGATCATTTCTGATTCTACAGCTAATGTATTAGCGGATCATTTCTGATTCTACAGCTCATGTACTAGCGGATCATTTCTGATTCTACAGGTCATGTACTAGTGGATCATTTCTGATTCTACAGGTCATGTACTAGTGGATCATTTCTGATTCTACAGGTCATGTACTAGTGGATCATTTCTGATTCTACAGGTCATGTACTAGCGGATCATTTCTGATTCTACAGGTCATGTACTAGTGGATCATTTCTGATTCTACAGGTCATGTACTAGTGGATCATTTCTGATTCTACAGGTCATGTACTAGTGGATCATTTCTGATTCTACAAAAAAGAAAGTGGAAAGAAGGACTGAGAGGGGAGAGAGAGAGAGAAAAAAAAATACTAAGAAAAGAAAGTCGGCAATGAGACAAGGGGGTGAAAGAAAGGAAAGGAAAAAGAAAGTAAAGGAGAGATACAGATGAACAAACTTTATTTTCACTGGGTCACAAACTGGATGCACAGGCCTGGGGGAGGGGGGGGGGGGGGGGATGTTGGGCCACACCAGATGTCATCACTGTATGTATGTGTGTGTGTAGGAGGGGGTAGAAATCTTGAGAGGGATCTTGCAGTTCCTGACTTTTTCACAGTTTCAGGGTCGGCTATGAACCCTGTATTCAACAAAAACATTTTATACAAGGTCAATTATTAGACAAGAACATTTTAGACAAGGTCAAGTATTTAACAAGAACATTCTAGACAAAGTCAAGTATCTGACACACAAGGATAGAGGAGAATGAAAGGCGCTTACGCTGGTTCCTGATCTTTCATCTTTTTCAAGGCGTTGGACCAGTTGAGCACTGGAGACTTGCCCATCTGTGTCCGTCTGGTTGCTGGCTGCACAGGACAACAAGGCCACTGTTAGTATCTAGTAGGCTTATGTAGTCATCAGATAAAGATGTAATCATTTCACAAGTCATCCAGTCATGCTCCCAGATCAATGATCATGAACACACCAATATTAGCCAGCAATCATTCCATTCCATTCATCATCATTCCAGTCATTCATTCTACAAAATAAATGTCCAACCATTCCATACAATCACCAGTCATTCATTCTACAAAATAAATGTCCAACCATTCCATACAATCACCATCATTCATTTTACAAAATAAATGTCCAACCATTCCATACAATCACCAGTCATTCATTCCACAAAATAAATGTCCAATCATTCCATACAATCAATATATAACTATTCCACAAAATAAATGTCTAATCATTCCATACAATCACCAGTCATTCATTCCACAAAATAAATGTCCAATCATTCCATACAATCACCAGTCATTCATTCCACAAAATAAATGTCCAACCATTCCATTCAATCACCAGTCATTCATTCCACAAAATAGATGTCCAATCATTCCATACAATCACCAGTCATTCATTTCACAAAATAAATGTCCAATCATTCCATACAATCACCAGTCATTCATTCCACAAAATAAATGTCCAATCATTCCATTCAATCACCAGTCATTCATTCCACAAAATAAATGTCCAACCATTCCATACAATCACCAGTCATTCATTCCACAAAATAGATGTCCAATCATTCCACACAATCAATATATAACTATTCGACAAAATAAATGTCCAATCATTCCATACAATCAACAGTCATTCATTACACAAAATAAATGTCCAATCATTCCATACAATCACCAGTCATTCATTCCACAAAATAAATGTCCAATCATTCGATACAATCAATATATAACTATTCCACAAAATAAATGTCCAATCATTCCATACAATTACCAGTCATTCATTCCACAAAATAAATGTCCAATCATTCGATACAATCAATATATAACTATTCCACAAAATAAATGTCCAATCATTCCATACAATTACCAGTCATTCATTCCACAAAATAAATGTCCAATCATTCCATACAATCACCAGTCATTCATTCCACAAAATAAATGTCCAATCATTCCATACAATCAATATATAACTATTCCACAAAATCAATACAGAATACAATACACACACACAAAACCACTAGGAGACAAAAATACAATCAACTGACTGGTTGAAATATGCAATCTCAGTTTGATGACTTTCTTCCAAGACACAGTGAACAACAAATGTACACAGAACCAGTGATACACATTCAGAGAGCAATAACACAGTGCCCACACAACCAATAATGGAGACAGTGCAATAACAGTGAAAAATAACACAGTGCACACCAAGAAAAAAACATAGTGCACAAAAAAGAAATAACACAGTGCACACAGAACCAGCGACAGAGACACAGATCAATAACAGTGCACGCAGATTCACTGACAGAGACACACAGTACAATAACAGTGCATGCAGATTCACTGACAGAGACACACAGTACAATAACAGTGCATGCAGATTAACTGACAGAGACAGTACAATAACAGTGCATGCAGATTCACTGACAGAGACACAGTACAATAACAGTACATGCAGATTCACTGACAGAGAGACACTGTACAATAACAGTGCATGCAAATTCACTGACAGAGAAACACAGAGCACAAAAACACAGTGCACACAGACCCACTGACAGACACAGAGTTAAACAGCACCATGCACACAGACCCACTGACAGACACAGAGTTAAACAGCACCATGCACACAGATCCAGCGAGTGACAGAGACCCAGTACAAACAGACCCACTGACAGACACAGAGTTAAACAGCACCATGCACACAGATCCAGCGAGTGATAGAGACACAGTACAAACAGACCCACTGACAGACACAGAGTTAAACAGCACCATGCACACAGATCCAGTGAGTGATAGAGACACAGTACAAACAGACCCACTGACAGACACAGAGTTAAACAGCACCATGCACACAGATCCACTGACAGACACAAAGTTAAACAGCACCATGCACACAGATCCAGTGAGTGATAGAGACACAGTACAAACAGACCCACTGACAGACACAAAGTTAAACAGCACCATGCACACAGATCCAGCGAGTGATAGAGACACAGTACAAACAGATCCACTGACAGACACAGAGTTAAACAGCACCATGCACACAGATCCACTGATAGACACAGAGTTAAACAGCACCATGCACACAGATCCACTGACAGACACAGAGTTAAACAGCACCATGCACACAGATCCACTGACAGACACAGAGTTAAACAGCACCATGCACACAGATCCACTGACAGACACAGAGTTAAACAGCACCATGCACACAGATCCACTGACAGACACAGAGTTAAACAGCACCATGCACACAGATCCACTGACAGACACAAAGTAAAACAGCACCATGCACACAGATCCAGTGAGTGATAGAGACACAGTACAAACAGATCCACTGACAGACACAGAGTTAAACAGCACCATGCACACAGATCCACTGACAGACACAAAGTTAAACAGCACCATGCACACAGATCCAGTGAGTGATAGAGACACAGTACACACAGACCCACTGACAGACACAGAGTTAAACAGCACCATGCACACAGATCCAGCGAGTGATAGAGACACAGTACAAAAACACAGTGCACACAGACCCACTGACAGACACAAAGTTAAACAGCACCATGCACACAGATCCAGTGAGTGACAGAGACATAGTGTACACAGATCCAGCGAGTGACAGAGACATAGTGTACACAGATCCACTGACAGACACGGAGTTAAAGAAAACCACGTACACAGACCCAGTGAGTGACAGAGACACAGTGTACACAGACCCACTGACCCGGGCTTTCATGGGTGCCTGAACCTCTAAAGCCTGGGACTCTGTTGGCAGGGGAGAGATGAAAGAAGGTGTGGCACTTCCAGAGATGATCATTGGGTTCTCCAGGGGCAACAGTCCAAAACTGCAACAGGTTCAGCAAAAACTACAACAGCTTCAGTAAAAACTACAACAGCTTCAGTAAAAACTACAACAGCTTCAGTAAAAACTACAACAGCTTCAGTAAAAACTACAAAAGCTTCAGTAAAAACTGCAATGGCTTCACTGAAAACTACAACCGGCTCAAGAAAATTACAACAGGCTCAGTGGCCTGGCCATTGAGTTAACCGTATGTGTCGATTCCTCCCCACCAAATATATGGTTGACACATTCCGTTTCTGGGGACAGCTTTTATCGAGTTTGCTCTCTAGACAGTTGCAGTCCCCTGCTGACGAGATTCTGTCTTCCCGAGTGGACCGCCGCGATCAAAACATTGCGAAGGCAGCGTGGTCGAGGCTGCCAAAACTATCGGTCATTATCCCGCCCCGACACAGCACAACCACAATACACGCTGTTCCCACGAAAAACACATAATATCCTGCGTTGGAAATGCGCATAAAATAGCAGTCCATTATTATAGAACAGAATAATCCGAGAGAATTGACAGCCAGCGAAAATAAACACAGCTGCTGTCCGCCATTTTGAAAACGGAAGTCGTCACAACAGGCTCAGTAAAAACTATAAATACAACAGGTTCAGTAAAAACTATAACTACAACAGGTTCAGTAAAAACTATAACTACAACAGGTTCAGTAAAAACTATAACTACAACAGGTTCAGTAAAAACTATAACTACAACAGGTTCAGTAAAAACTATAACTACAACAGGTTCAGTAAAAACTATACAACAGGTACAGTAAAAACTATACAACAGGCTCAGTAAAAACTATAACTACAACAGGCTCAGTAAAAACTATAACTACAACAGGCTCAGTAAAAACTATAACTACAACAGGTTCAGTAAAAACCATAACTACAACAGGTTCAGTAAAAACTATAACTACAACAGGTTCAGTAAAAACTATAACTACAACAGGTTCAGTAAAAACTATAACTACAACAGGTTCAGTAAAAACTATAACTACAACAGGTTCAGTAAAAACTATAACTACAACAGGTTCAGTAAAAACTAAACTACAACAGGTTCAGTAAAAACTAAACTACAACAGGTTCAGTAAAAACTATTCAACAGGTACAGTAAAAACTATACAACAGGTACAGTAAAAACTATACAACAGGTACAGTAAAAACTATTCAACAGATACAGTAAAAACTATACAACAGGTACAGTAAAAACTATTCAACAGGTACAGTAAAAACTATACAACAGGTACAGTAAAAACTATACAACAGGTACAGTAAAAACTATACAACAGGTACAGTAAAAACTATACAACAGGCAAAAACTGCAATAGGCAAGAGGAACTTTCAGAGCACTTGGAAATGTGTGGAGGTTTAAATAAATGAAAACTAATATTAAAATTAAATGAAAACTCAAATGTGAAATCAGTACTGCTGTATGTATGGAAGAGAAACAAGGAGAACAGCTCAAACAACTACTAATAAACTACAGACACTCATTAACTGGTATCTGTGCTGAATAGAGCCAGTGAAATGATATGATAGGATCACTCATGTAGAACTGTGGGGACAACTAACAAATGGTATCTGTGCTGAATAGAGCCAGTGAAATGATATGATAGGATCACTAATGTAGAACTGTAGGGACAACTAACAAATGGTATCTGTGCTGAATAGAGCCAGTGAAATGATATGATAGGATCACTAATGTAGAACTGTGGGGACAACTAACAAATGGTATCTGTGCTGAATAGAGCCAGTGAAATGATATGATAGGATCACTCATGTAGAACTGTGGGGACAACTAACAAATGGTATCTGTGCTGAATAGAGCCAGTGAAATGATATGATAGGATCACTAATGTAGAACTGTGGGGACAACTAACAAATGGTATATGTGCTGAATAGAGCCAGTGAAATGATATGATAGGATCACTAATGTAGAACTGTGGGGACAACTAACAAATGGTATCTGTGCTGAATAGAGCCAGTGAAATGATATGATAGGATCACTAATGTAGAACTGTGGGGACAACTAACAAATGGTATCTGTGCAGAATAGAGCCAGTGAAATGATATGATAGGATCACTAATGTAGAACTTTGGGGACAACTAACAACTAGTATCTGTACTGAATAGAGCCAGTGAAATGATATGATAGGATCACTCATGTAGAACTGTGGGGACAACTAACAAATGGTATCTGTGCTGAATAGAGCCAGTGAAATGATATGATAGGATCACTCATGTAGAACTGTGGGGACAACTAACAAATGGTATCTGTGCTGAATAGAGCCAGTGAAATGATATGATAGGATCACTCATGTAGAACTGTGGGGACAACTAACAACTAGTATCTGTGCTGAATAGAGCCAGTGAAATGATATGATAGGATCACTAATGTAGAACTGTGGGGACAACTAACAAATGGTATCTGTGCTGAATAGAGCCAGTGAAATGATATGATAGGATCACTAATGTAGAACTGTGGGGACAACTAACAAATGGTATCTGTGCTGAATAGAGCCAGTGAAATGATATGATAGGATCACTAATGTAGAACTGTGGGGACAACTAACAAATGGTATCTGTGCTGAATAGAGCCAGTGAAATGATATGAGCACTAATGTAGAACTGTGGGGACAACTAACAAATGGTATCTGTGCTGAATAGTGAAATGATGATAGGATCACTAATGTAGAACTGTGGGGACAACTAACAAATGGTATCTGTGCTGAATAGAGCCAGTGAAATGATATGATAGGATCACTAATGTAGAACTGTGGGGACAACTAACAAATGGTATCTGTGCTGAATAGAGCCAGTGAAATGATATGATAGGATCACTAATGTAGAACTGTGGGGACAACTAACAAATGGTATCTGTGCTGAATAGAGCCAGTGAAATATATGATATGATAGGATCACTAATGTAGAACTGTGGGGACAACTAACAAATGGTATCTGTGCTGAATAGAGCCAGTGAAATGATATGATAGGATCACTAATGTAGAACTGTGGGGACAACTAACAAATGGTATCTGTGCTGAATAGAGCCAGTGAAATGATATGATAGGATCACTAATGTAGAACTGTGGGGACAACTAACAAATGGTATCTGTGCTGAATAGAGCCAGTGAAATGATATGATAGGATCACTAATGTAGAACTGTGGGGACAACTAACAAATGGTATCTGTGCTGAATAGAGCCAGTGAAATGATATGATAGGATCACTAATGTAGAACTGTGGGGACAACTAACAAATGGTATCTGTGCTGAATAGAGCCAGTGAAATGATATGATAGGATCACTAATGTAGAACTGTGGGGACAACTAACAAATGGTATCTGTGCTGAATAGAGCCAGTGAAATGATATGATAGGATCACTAATGTAGAACTGTGGGGACAACTAACAAATGGTATCTGTGCTGAATAGAGCCAGTGAAATGATATGATAGGATCACTAATGTAGAACTGTGGGGACAACTAACAAATGGTATCTGTGCTGAATAGAGCCGGTTAAATGATATGATAGGATCACTAATGTAGAACTGTGGGGACAACTAACAAATGGTATCTGTGCTGAATAGAGCCAGTGAAATGATATGATAGGATCACTAATGTAGAACTGTGGGGACAACTAACAAATGGTATCTGTGCTGAATAGAGCCAGTGAAATGATATGATAGGATCACTAATGTAGAACTGTGGGGACAACTAACAAATGGTATCTGTGCTGAATAGAGCCAGTTAAATGATATGATAGGATCACTAATGTAGAACTGTAGGGACAACTAACAAATGGTATCTGTGCTGAATAGAGCCAGTTAAATGATATGATAGGATCACTAATGTAGAACTTTGGGGACAACTAACAAATGGTAGTGGACCAAGAGGTGAAGAAAAGATGCTGGTGTTGGACAGGAGACATAAATCTGAGAACAATATAATTAGAATGTGTGGAACTCAAAAGGGGCGAAGAAATCAAGGCAGTCATGATGAGACATGCATGAACATCAGAGAGAAAATAATAATGGAAATAATACACATTTAGATATTTTGAAGGGGGAGGGGGGAAGGAAGACATGATCAGTACAAGTAATCTGTTCACTAGATCTGTCTCACAACAAATGTGAGATGACTGACAGAGAACAAGAACTGTGAGATGACTGACTCATGAAACAGCAACTGTGAGATGACTGACCAAGAAAACAATAATTGTGAGATGACTGACCCAGGAAACAGTAACTGTGAGATGACTGACCCAGGAAACAGTAACTGTGAGATGACTGACTCATGAAACAGTAACTGTGAGATGACTGACTCATGAAACAGTAACTGTGAGATGACTGACTCATGAAACAGTAACTGTGAGATGACTGACTCATGAAACAGTAACTGTGAGATGACTGACTCATGAAACAGTAACTATGAGATGACTGTATCAGAGAACAGTAACTGTGAGATGACTGACTCATGAAACAGTAACTATGAGATGACTGTATCAGAGAACAGTAACTGTGAGATGACTGACTCATGAAACAGTAACTGTGAGATGACTCAGATGACTGCTAAAATTATATGAGTTGGGCCGAAATGCGCAGATATCACAGCTTAGCTGTAAAACACAAGACAATGTGTGAAATGCGCAGATATCACAGCTTAGCTGTAAAACAAAAGATAATGTATGAAATATGCAGATATCACAGCTTAGCTGTAAAACACAAGACAATGTATGAAATGCACAGATATTATAGCCTAGCAGTAAAACACAAGACAATGTGTGAAACGCGCAGATATCATAGCCTAGCTGTAAAACACAAGACAATTTGTGAAATGCGCAGATATCACAGCTTAGCTGTAAAACACAAAACAATGTGTGAAATATGCAGAACATAGCAGTTATCAACAAGAAATCAGTCACTAGAGAGAACATCTCCTCGACAGAACATAGCAGTTATCAATAAGAAATCAGTCACTAGAGAGAACATTTCCCCAACAGAACATAGCAGTCCAGCAAGACATCAGTCACTAGAGAGAACATTTCCCCAACAGAACATAGCAGTTATCAACAAGACACCAGTCACTAGAGAGAACATTTCCCCAACAGAACATAGCAGTTATCAACAAGACACCAGTCACTAGAGAGAACATTTCCCCAACAGAACATAGCAGTTATCAACAAGACACCAGTCACTAGAGAGAACATGACAGTCCAGCATTAGATATCAACAAGACACCAGTCACTAGAGAGAACATTTCCCCAACAGAACATAGCAGTTATCAACAAGACACCAGTCACTAGAGAGAACATTTCCCCAACAGAACATAGCAGTTATCAACAAGACACCAGTCACTAGAGAGAACATTTCCCCAACAGAACATAGCAGTTATCAACAAGACACCAGTCACTAGAGAGAACATTTCCCAACAGAACATAGCAGTTATCAACAAGACACCAGTCACTAGAGAGAACATGACAGTCCAGCATTAGATATCAACAAGACACCAGTCACTAGAGAGAACATTTCCCCAACAGAACATAGCAGTTATCAACAAGACACCAGTCACTAGAGAGAACATTTCCCCAACAGAACATAGCAGTTATCAACAAGACATCAGTCACTAGAGAGAACATTTCCCCAACAGAACATAGCAGTTATCAACAAGACACCAGTCACTAGAGAGAACATTTCCCCAACAGAACATAGCAGTTATCAACAAGACACCAGTCACTATAGAGAACATTTCCCCAACAGAACATAGCAGTTATCAACAAGACATCAGTCACTAGAGAGAACATTTCCCCAACAGAACATAGCAGTTATCAACAAGACACCAGTCACTAGAGAGAACATTTCCCCAACAGAACATAGCAGTTATCAACAAGACACCAGTCACTAGAGAGAACATTTCCCCAACAGAACATAGCAGTTATCAACAAGACACCAGTCACTAGAGAGAACATTTCCCCAACAGAACATAGCAGTTATCAACAAGACACCAGTCACTAGAGAGAACATGACAGTCCAGCATTAGATATCAGCAAGACACCAGTAGCCATAAACTGAGGTTGAAACCTCCACCTAACACAGACCTGTATATGATGTAGCCATAAACTGAGGTTAAAACCTCCACCTAACACAGACCTGTATATGATGTAGCCATAAACTGAGGTTGAAACCTCCACCTAACACAGACCTGTATATGATGTAGCCATAAACTGAGGTTAAAACCTCCACCTAACACAGACCTGTATATGATGTAGCCATCCACTGAGGTTGAAACCTCCACCTAACACAGACCTGTATATGATGTAGCCATAAACTGAGGTTGAAACCTACACCTAACAGAGACCTGTATATGATGTAGCCATCCACTGAGCTAGAAACCTCCACCTAACACAGACCTGTATATGATGTAGCCATAAACTGAAGTTGAAACCTCCACCTAACACAGACGTGTATATGATGTAGCCATAAACTGAAGTTGAAACCTCCACCTAACACAGACCTGTATATGATGTAGCCATAAACTGAAGTTGAAACCTCCAACTAACACAGACCTGTATATGATGTAGCCATAAACTGAAGTTGAAACCTCCAACTAACACAGACCTGTATATGATGTAGCCATAAACTGAAGTTAAAACCTTCACCTAACACAGACCTGTATATGATGTAGCCATAAACTGAGGCTCATAGACTCACCTAGGAGAAATCTGTCCCTGGTTTAAAAATAACTTCACAGGAAGGGAACTCTTGCGAATCAAAGTCGGGTCTGGAGTTGTGGTCAACTTCTGTTTGTTGGGTCTGGGAGCTTTGCTGATGTCATAGCCTGGCTGATTCTGGTTGTTTTCTGGGGTCTGGTTGGAGCAGATGTTCCGAGGGGACAGCAGCTGACAAAAAAACAAATGACAGCTGTTGGAGCAGATGTTCCGAGGGGACAGCAGCTGACAACAAAACAAATGACAGCTGTTGGAGCAGATGTTCCGAGGGGACAGCAGCTGACAACAAAACAAATGACAGCTGTTGGAGTACATGTTCCGAGGGAACAGCAGCTGACAACAAAACAAATGACAGCTGTTGGAGTACATGTTCCGAGGGGACAGCAGCTGACAACAAAACAAATGACAGCTGTTGGAGTACATGTTCCGAGGGGACAGCAGCTGACAAAAAACAAATGACAGCTGTTGGAGCAGATGTTCCGAGGGGACAGCAGCTGACAACAAAACAAATGACAGCTGTTGGAGTACATGTTCCGAGGGGACAGCAGCTGACAACAAAACAAATGACAGCTGTTGGAGTACATGTTCCGAGGGGACAGCAGCTGACAAAAAACAAATGACAGCTGTTGGAGTACATGTTCCGAGGGGACAGCAGCTGACAAACAAACAAATGACAGCTGTTGGAGCAGATGTTCCGAGGGGACAGCAGCTGACAACAAACAAATGACAGCTGTTGGAGCAGATGTTCCGAGGGGACAGCAACTGACAAACAAACAAATGACAGCTGTTGGAGCAGATGTTCCGAGGGGACAGCAGCTGACAACAAAACAAATGACAGCTGTTGGAGCAGATGTTCCGAGGGGACAGCAGCTGACAACAAAACAAATGACAGCTGTTGGAGCAGATGTTCCGAGGGGACAGCAGCTGACAACAAAACAAATGACAGCTGTTGGAGCAGATGTTCCGAGGGGACAGCAGCTGACAACAAAACAAATGACAGCTGTTGGAGTACATGTTCCGAGGGGACAGCAGCTGACAACAAAACAAATGACAGCTGTTGGAGCAGATGTTCCGAGGGGACAGCAGCTGACAACAAACAAATGACAGCTGTTGGAGCAGATGTTCTAAGGGGACAGCAGCTGACAACAAACAAATGACAGCTGTTGGAGCAGATGTTCCGAGGGGACAGCAACTGACAAACAAACAAATGACAGCTGTTGGAGCAGATGTTCCGAGGGGACAGCAGCTGACAACAAAACAAATGACAGCTGTTGGAGCAGATGTTCCGAGGGGACAGCAGCTGACAACAAAACAAATGACAGCTGTTGGAGCAGATGTTCCGAGGGGACAGCAGCTGACAACAAAACAAATGACAGCTGTTGGAGTACATGTTCCGAGGGGACAGCAGCTGACAACAAAACAAATGACAGCTGTTGGAGCAGATGTTCCGAGGGGACAGCAGCTGACAACAAAACAAATGACAGCTGTTGGAGCAGATGTTCCGAGGGGACAGCAGCTGACAAACAAACAAAAAACAAATGACAGCTGTTGGAGCAGATGTTCCGAGGGGACAGCAGCTGACAAACAAACAAAAAACAAATGACAGCTGTTGGAGCAGATGTTCCGAGGGGACAGCAGCTGACAACAAAACACATGACAGCTGTTGGAGCAGATGTTCCGAGGGGACAGCAACTGACAACAAAACAAACAAATGACAGCTGTTGGAGCAGATGTTCCGAGGGGACAGCAGCTGACAACAAAACACATGACAGCTGTTGGAGCAGATGTTCCGAGGGGACAGCAGCTGACAACAAAACACATGACAGCTGTTGGAGCAGATGTTCCGAGGGGACAGCAACTGACAACAAACAAATGACAGCAGCTGGAGCAGATGTTCTGTGGGGACAGGATAAGGCAAACAAACAACAGCAGCTGGAGCAGATGTTCTGTGGGGACAGGATAAGGCAAACAAACAACATTTGGAGCAGATGTTCTGTGGGGACAGGATAAGGCAAACAAACAACATTTGGAGCAGATGTTCTGTGGGGACAGGATAAGGCAAGCAAACAACAGCAGTTGGAGCAGATGTTCTGTGGGGACAGGATAAGGCAAATGAACAAACAAGCTGTTGGTCAGGGTTCCAACTTCATCACAAACAGGTCCTATAAATGCTCAGTTCCTGTCCCGGGGGGACCACATAGAGAATGCCAATCACTGTCCCACGTGGAAATGCTGTTCTGTGCCGGGGGGACCACATAGAGAATGCCAATCACGGTCCCACGTGGAAATGCTGTTCTGTGCCAGTGCAGACAACAAAGAATGCCCATCAATGTCTCTTGTGGAAAGTCAGACAGAAAAAAGTAACAGCAAACACAAACACATAAGACATCCATCAGAAGTGCCAGCTCCAATCACTAGTAATGCATTTCATAGTTGAAGAAAGCAGAAACCACGACAAACAGGTGCACTATGCATTACTGCAAAAGGCACATCGCTAATTCCATGACAGACAGCCTCTCATTTTCTGAATATGCGGCTAACCACACATCTCCAGGAGCATGGAAGCCTCAAACTACAGGGTCACAGGTTGCAATCAATTTACTAACTGGCAGTTAGAGCCACATTTTGCCTTCCCCTTGGTTGTTGTCCCATAGTTTCCCACTGGGGTTGAAACCCAAACCTTCCACTGGAATTACTAGGGAGAACAGGGTCTAGCCTGTGAAGTGGAAGTCAGTTCGAGCGAGACAGGCCAGGAGACAAGCCAGGAGACAGGCCAGGAGACAGACCAGGAGACAGGCTAGGAGACAGGCTAGCAGACATGCCAGGAGACAGGCAGACTTGTTCCATTACAGCAAGTGTTCCAAATGGACACAAGCTGACAAACAAACAAAAACAAACAGTGGTTGCAGCAGGTGTTCCAAATGGACACAAGCTGACAAACAAACAAACAGTGGTTGCAGCAGGTGTTCCAAATGGACAAACAGTGGTTGCAGCAGGTGTTCCAAATGGACACAAGCTGACAAACAAACAAACAAAAACAAACAGTGGTTGAAGCAGGTGTTCCAAACAGACACAAGCTGACAAACGAACAAACAAAAACAAACAGTGGTTGAAGCAGGTGTTCGGAACTGACACAAGCTGACAAACAAACAAACAAACAAAAACAGTGTTTGCAGCAGATGTTCCAAATGGACACAAGCTCACAAACAAACAAATAGTGGTTGCAGCAGATGTTCCAAATGGACACAAGCTGACAAACAAACAAACAAAAACAGTGGTTGAAGCAGGTGTTCCAAACGGACGCAAGCTGACAAACAAACAAACAAAAATAAACAGTGGTTGAAGCAGGTGTTCCAAACGGACACAAGCTGACAGACAAACAAAAAACAAACAGTGGTTGGAGCAGGTGTTCCAAACAGACACAAGCTGACAGACAAACAAAAAACAAACAGTGGTTGAAGCAGGTGTTCCAAACGGACACAAGCTGATAAACAAACAGTGGTTGAAGCAGGTGTTCGGAACGGACGCAAGCTGACAAACAAACAAACAAAAACAAACAGTGGTTGAAGCAGGTGTTCAGAACGGACACAAGCTGACAAACAAACAAACAAACAAAAACAAACAGTGGTTGAAGCAGGTGTTCGGAACAGACACAAGCTGACAAACAAACAAAAACAAACAGTGGTTGCAGCAGGTGTTCTATGATGACAGAAACAAATTCACACCAATGATTTGTGTTGATATGATTCTCTGATCAGAGAAACTATGAACAATCACAGCAAGACTCACATGTTCACTAGGAAAAGACTTGACGACCGTCTCTGTCAGCTGTTCCCCTAAGGCATCACAATCACTAGGTGGAGCCACTGTTGCATTGATGGTTGAAGTATTTGTGGGAATCTGAAACACTGACTCAGGTTTGACATTTTCACCTGTGGGACCAGAAAACATGTTCAATAGGTATAATACTGCCAACTTGTACACAAGAAAATGTCACTTGTCGGCAGGTTTGACACTTTTTACACAAGAAAATGTGTTATTTGCCTACAGGTTTGACACTTTTACACAAGAAAATGTGTTATTTGCCTACAGGTTTGACACTTTTACACAAGAAAATGTGTTATTTGCCTACAGGTTGGACACTTTTACACAAGAAAATGTGTTATTTGCCTACAGGTTGGACACTTTTACACAAGAAAATGTGTTATTTGCCTACAGGTTTGACAACACAAGAAAATGCTAACTTGTTGAGGGCCACCACATGCAGCGTCCTGCTGCTAGTAGTCAAGAAAGGACACCCCTGGCTTCCTGGACTCGGTCTGCAGTTAGCTGGTTGGGTTATCATCACTGTACTCCGAACATGTCCATAGGTGCTCAGATCCTCCACTCCAGAATGAATCCTGGTGGCTAATAGCACCAGTGGTATGTTGATTTACAAGACCTCTGTGATGCGCCTGGTGTGAGTCTCATTTGTTGCTATGCCGACATTAACTCCCAAGTCTGTCATTCTGGTGAGTGATTGATGTGGATTCAGTGACCCCAAAGTCCTCCACCCTTCCCATTTCCCAGAGGCCATTAATAATAATATGATCCACAAATTGACCGTCGGTAGTGATAGCAGATCCAGCCAACCCATTATCTCTTTCATTTCCATCTACACCCCCGTATCCTGAAACAAAAATAAAAGTGACTCCACGTGAACTGGACTTCTGCCTAGTTTGGCCATGATTTCCCCTCTCAGCCTGTCACCCGTTTCACTGAAATGTGCTTGATGCAGTGGGTGTTTCTTACCAGTGCATATTTGAAGCCATGCCTGAGCCCTTCAGAGCCAAATCGTCAAAAACTCCAGTAGATATCTCACTACTACACAGAACATGTCTCTTGTACATCCAAAAATAATGTGTACAGCTTCATTGTGCAGCTTTTCCAGTGGTTCAATCTGTGCAGCACTCACAGTGAGAATGGCTAGAGCATATTCAATGGGGAAGAGGACCTGCCCGTAGAACAGAAGTATTAGTAGTCTTTGATCGATATTAGAAGCAGCCATGAGCCTCACTTTAGACAGACCTTTGCGTGCTTATGTTATCACATGGTCAACACGTTCCTGGAACGTCAACCTCACCCTAAGGTATGTCATCACGTTAGTTCTGGTCAACACATGACCACCTCTGGTAAGTCTGTCTTGACAATGTGATAGTTCAAAGAGAATCATGATACTAATGCTTTTGAAGGATTGACGTAGGCATTGGAGCCAACACACCATGTAGAAATTTGATCAAGTTCATTGTGCAGTGTGATCTTCTGTCTGTCCGTCCTTGCTGATATTTCAAAATGTCATCAGCAAATGACAAAGTCATTTTCATCCAGTTGTTGCTCTGTGATCATCACCGTATTTACACTGAACATTGAGCAGTGATCCCTGCAGCAAACCTGGACAACACTGGTGATAGCAGTGCAAACCTGGACAACACTGGTGATAGCAGTGCAAACCTTGACAACACCGGTGATAGATAGCAGTGCAAACCTGGACAACACTGGTGATGGCAGTGCAAACCTGGACATATCGTTTGAGTTTCTGAGGACCAACTACCACATCTGAATACTACCTGTCTCTGGAACACGGTCGCAGCAATCCAGCGGACCAGAACAGGATTTACTTCCAGTTTGAGTAGTAAGTGCGTTAGATATTCATATGATACTTTATTGTAGGCATCTTTTAAGTCTGTTGCTATGGCACATGTCTCTTCTTTGGTCTGAAATCTTTCGCACACATCGCAGGCAAAGACTGCAGCACTGAACCATGTCTCATTTTTCAACCTGTACCCTTCAAGTGAGGGTGGGAACTCATCTTTGAGTGGTCTTCATTCGGCTTTGGCAGTAAGAACAAATAGCTGTGGAGCCATTCCTCTTTCATCTGGCCACATTGGATGCTAATACTGAATTATTCTGCCATGCTCTTCATATCAGCATCCGACATCATAAGCATGTCGTTTTATTTGATGCCGTCTGCAGTGTGTGCTGTGTATACCCATTTGTACAATGGACCCGCCTGTGTAGATCAGCATAACAAATTTCCCTTATCTGAAATGTCAGCAAACAGCGTGTGGATCTGGACACTGACAGCAACAAGATCCCACCCCTGACGGATCTATGCTGAACACTGCCTAACTCTCAAGGATCCCACCAACAACAGTCAGCTGAGTCATTTCTGTGGCTGTAACCAACGAGTGACACCAACACAATAAGGACAGAGAAACAGAGATCAATGGTCTGGGACCTAGTCAATACTTACCCATGGAACACAGCATTTCAAATGACTTCCACAAGAGGGGGTTCAACTTCAGGGACCTTCGGTAACACAATACAGCTTTAGATATCCTTTCTGTTTTACTGGGGACACAAGTGTTACTTCATTATTTCGCTGTGTTACTAACACCAGAGCTAGTTATGATACAAATAATCACCTACTGAACCACATCTTTTCTTTGTTAATAACCATCCGAGTATAATGTGTGTTGTGTCTGTACCATCATGTTTTTATACATGCTCATCATCTTCCAGCGAAGACAGACATGTGGTGGTTCTCTGTCTAGCTACCTTGTGAAGACAAAACAATATGTGACCCCCTCTCAAGCTACCTTGTGTAGACAGAGAGATGAGATGTGACCCCCTATCTAGCCACCTTGTGTAGACAGAGAGATGAGATGTGGTCCCCTATCTAGCCACCTTGTGTAGACAGAGAGATGAGATGTGGTCCCCTATCTAGCCACCTTGTGTAGACAGACAGATGAGATGTGGTCCCCTATCTAGCCACCTTGTGTAGGCAGACAGATGAGATGTGGTCCCCTATCTAGCCACCTTGTGTAGACAGACAGATGAGATGTGGTCCCCTGTCTAGCCACCTTGTGTAGACAGAAAGATGAGATGTGGTCCCCTGTCTAGCCACCTTGTGTAGACAGACAGATAAGATGTGGTCCCCTATCTAGCCACCTTGTGTAGACAGAGAGATGAGATGTGGTCCCCTATCTAGCCACCTTGTGTAGACAGACAGATAAGATGTGGTCCCCTATCTAGCCACCTTGTGTAGACAGACAGATAAGATGTGGTCCCCTATCTAGCCACCTTGTGTAGACAGACAGATGAGATGTGGTCCCCTATCTAGCCACCTTGTGTAGACAGAGAGATGAGATGTGGCCCCCTGTCTAGCCACCTTGTGTAGACAGAAATTAGATGTGGTCCCCTATCTAGCCACCTTGTGTAGACAGACAGATTATATGTGGTCCCCTATCTAGCCACCTTGTGTAGACAGAGATGGGATGTGGTCCCCTATCTAGCCACTGTGTGTAGACAGAGATGAGATGTGGTCCCCTATCTAGCCACCTTTTGTAGACAGAGAGATGAGATGTGGTCCCCTATCTAGCCACCTTGTGTAGACAGACCGATGAGATGTGGTCCCCTATCTAGCCACCTTGTGTAGACAGAGAGATGAGATGTGGTCCCCTATCTAGCCACCTTGTGTAGACAGAGATGAGATGTGGTCCCCTATCTAGCCACCTTGTGTAGACAGACATAAGATGTGGTCCCCTATCTAGCCACCTTGTATGTGAAGACAGACAACAAGTGGTTCCCTGTCTAGCTACTATGTGAAGACAGACAACAAGTGGTTCCTTGTCTAGCTACTATGTGAAGACAGACAACAAGTGGTTCCTTGTCTAGCTACTATGTGAAGACAGACAACAAGTGGTTCCCTGTCTAGCTACTATGTGAAGACAGACAACAAGTGGTTCCTTGTCTAGCTACTATGTGAAGACAGACAACAAGTGGTTCCTTGTCTAGCTACTATGTGAAGACAGACAACATGTGGTTCCCTGTCTAGCTACTATGTGAAGACAGACAACAAGTGGTTCCCTGTCTAGCTATGTGATGACAGACAACAAGTGGTTCCCTGTCTAGCTACTATGTGAAGACAGACAACAAGTGGTTCCCTGTCTAGCTACTTTGTGAAGACAGGACACAATGTGGTTCCCTGTCTAGCTACTATGTGAAGACAGACAACAAGTGGTTCCCTGTCTAGCTACTATGTGAAGACAGACAACAAGTGGTTCCCTGTCTAGCTACTATGTGAAGACAGACAGACAACATGTGGTCCCCTGTCTAGCTTCTATGTGAAGACAGACAACAAGTGGTTCCCTGTCTAGCTACTATGTGAAGACAGACAACAAGTGGTTCCTTGTCTAGCTACTATGTGAAGACAGACAACACGTGGTCCCCTGTCAAGCTACTATGTGAAGACAGACAATAAGTGGTTCCCTGTCTAGCTACTATGTGAAGACAGACAACACGTGGTTCCCTGTCTAGCTACTATGTGAAGACAGACAATAAGTGGTTTCTTGTCTAGCTACTATGTGAAGACAGACAACAAGTGGTTCCTTGTCTAGCTACTATGTGAAGACAGACAACATGTGGTTCCCTGTCTAGCTACTTTGTGAAGACAGACAACAAGTGGTTCCTTGTCTAGCTACTATGTGAAGACAGACAACAAGTGGTTCCTTGTCTAGCTACTATGTGAAGACAGACAACAAGAGGTTCCTTGTCTAGCTACTATGTGAAGACAGACAACAAGTGGTCCCCTGTCTAGCTACTATGTGAAGACAGACAACATGTGGTTCCTTGTCTAGCTACCTCAGACAGACAACAAGTGGTCCCCTGTCTAGCTACTATGTGAAGACAGACAACAAGTGGTTCCCTGTCTAGCTACTATGTGAAGACAGACAACATGTGGTTCCTTGTCTAGCTACTATGTGAAGACAGACAAGTGGTCCCCTGTCTAGCTACTATGTGAAGACAGACAAGTGGTCCCCTGTCTAGCTACTATGTGAAGACAGACAACATGTGGTTCCTTGTCTAGCTACTATGTGAAGACAGACAACAAGTGGTTCCTTGTCTAGCTACTATGTGAAGACACAACAAGTGGTCCCCTGTCTAGCTACTATGTGAAGACAGACAACATGTGGTTCCTTGTCTAGCTACTATGTGAAGACAGACAACATGTGGTACCCTGTGTAGCTACTTTGTGAAGACAGACAACAAGTGGTTCCTTGTCTAGCTACTATGTGAAGACAGGCAACAAGTGGTTCCTTGTCTAGCTACTATGTGAAGACAGACAACACGTGGTCCCCTGTCTAGCTACTATGTGAAGACAGACAACAAGTGGTTCCCTGTCTAGCTACTATGTGAAGACAGACAACAAGTGGTTCCTTGTCTAGCTACTATGTGAAGACAGACAACAAGTGGTTCCTTGTCTAGCTACTATGTGAGGACAGACAACAAGTGGTTCCTTGTCTAGCTACTATGTGAAGACAGACAACAAGTGGTTCCCTGTCTAGCTACTATGTGAAGACAGACAACAAGTGGTTCCTTGTCTAGCTACTATGTGAAGACAGACAACAAGTGGTTCCTTGTCTAGCTACTATGTGAAGACAGACAACAAGTGGTCCCCTGTCTAGCTACTATGTGAAGACAGACAACATGTGGTCCCTTGTCTAGCTACTATGTGAAGACAGACAAAAAGTGGTCCCCTGTCTAGCTACTATGTGAAGACAGACAACAAGTGGTTCCTTGTCTAGCTACTATGTGAAGACAGACAAGTGGTCCCCTGTCTAGCTACTATGTGAAGACAGACAAGTGGTCCCCTGTCTAGCTACTATGTGAAGACAGACAAGTGGTCCCCTGTCTAGCTACTATGTGAAGACAGACAAGTGGTCCCCTGTCTAGCTACTATGTGAAGACAGACAAGTGGTCCCCTGTCTAGCTACTATGTGAAGACAGACAACAAGTGGTTCCCTGTCTAGCTACTATGTGAAGACAGACAACATGTGGTCCCCTGTCTAGCTACTATGTGAAGACAGACAACACGTGGTTCCCTGTCTAGCTACTATGTGAAGACAGACAATAAGTGGTTTCTTGTCTAGCTACTATGTGAAGACAGACAACAAGTGGTTCCTTGTCTAGCTACTATGTGAAGACAGACAACATGTGGTTCCCTGTCTAGCTACTTTGTGAAGACAGACAATAAGTGGTTCCTTGTCTAGCTACTATGTGAAGACAGACAACAAGTGGTTCCTTGTCTAGCTACTATGTGAAGACAGACAACAAGAGGTTCCTTGTCTAGCTACTATGTGAAGACAGACAACAAGTGGTCCCCTGTCTAGCTACTATGTGAAGACAGACAACATGTGGTTCCTTGTCTAGCTACCTCAGACAGACAACAAGTGGTCCCCTGTCTAGCTACTATGTGAAGACAGACAACAAGTGGTTCCCTGTCTAGCTACTATGTGAAGACAGACAACATGTGGTTCCTTGTCTAGCTACTATGTGAAGACAGACAAGTGGTCCCCTGTCTAGCTACTATGTGAAGACAGACAAGTGGTCCCCTGTCTAGCTACTATGTGAAGACAGACAACATGTGGTTCCTTGTCTAGCTACTATGTGAAGACAGACAACAAGTGGTTCCTTGTCTAGCTACTATGTGAAGACACAACAAGTGGTCCCCTGTCTAGCTACTATGTGAAGACAGACAACATGTGGTTCCTTGTCTAGCTACTATGTGAAGACAGACAACATGTGGTTCCCTGTGTAGCTACTTTGTGAAGACAGACAACAAGTGGTTCCTTGTCTAGCTACTATGTGAAGACAGACAACAAGTGGTTCCTTGTCTAGCTACTATGTGAAGACAGACAACATGTGGTTCCCTGTCTAGCTACTTTGTGAAGACAGACAACATGTGGTTCCCTGTATAGCTACTTTGTGAAGACAGACAAGTGGTCCCCTGTCTAGCTACTATGTGAAGACAGACAACATGTGGTCCCCTGTCTAGCTACTATGTGAAGACAGACAACATGTGGTTCCTTGTCTAGCTACTATGTGAAGACAGACAACATTTGGTTCCTTGTCTAGCTACTATGTGAAGACAGACAAGTGGTCCCCTGTCTAGCTACTATGTGAAGACAGATAGACAACACGTGGTTCCTTGTCTAGCTACTATGTGAAGACAGACAACATGTGGTTCCCTGTCTAGCTACTATGTGAAGACAGACAAGTGGTTCCTTGTCTAGCTACTATGTGAAGACAGACAACATGTGGTTCCCTGTCTAGCTACTATGTGAAGACAGACAAGTGGTTCCCTGTCTAGCTACTATGTGAAGACAGACAAGTGGTTCCCTGTCTAGCTACTATGTGAAGACAGACAACAAGTGGTTCCCTGTCTAGCTACCTCATGTGGGTCAGACATCTCACATGACAGACAGGGCATCTCAACTACTGCCAGCTGGTGCTCACCTGTAAACATATCCCAGCAACGAGAACACGTAACAGGCCAGACATCTCACATGAAAGACAGGACATCTCAACTACTGCCAGCTGGTGCTCACCTGTAAACATATCCCAGCAACGAGAACACGTAACAGGCCAGACTGCCAAATTCTGCCTCCAAATCTTCATGGGATTTCACCTTTGCTAAAACTGTCCCAGCCAGGATCCTCTCCGCTTCTGCATATCTGAAAGTGGATGTGCACATTTGATTTCTTCTTCTCCAGTATGTGTGTGAGAGACAGAGACAGAAACAATCAAAGAAAAGGAAACCAGTTGCACATGTCCACAGTTGACTTCTTTAGTATGTGTGTGAGAGACAGAGACAGAAACAATGAAAGAAAAGACAGGAAACCAGTTGCACATGCACACAAAAATAATCTCAAACTTCTGAATGTGTAAAAACAAAAGTCACCCAACTTTCTTCTATGTCTTCTCTCAGGGAGGGGGGGGGGGGGGGGGGGGGGGGGGGGGGGAAAAAAAGGAGGGGGGGGGGGAAGGGGGGGGGGGTGTCACACAACTTTCTTCTGTCTTCTCTCAGAGGGGGGGGGGGGTGGTGGGGGAAAGGGGGTGTCACCCAACTTTCTTCTATGTCTTCTCTCAGGCGGCGGGGAAGGGGGGTGTCATCCATCTTTCTTCTATGTCTTCTCTCAGGCGGGGAAGGGGGGTGTCACAGAACTTTCTTCTATGTCTTCTCTCAAGGGGGGGGGGGGGGGGGGGGGAGGGGGGGTGTCATCCATCTTTCTTTTATGTCTTCTCTCAGGCGGGTGTCACCCAACTTTCTTCTATGCCTTCTCTCGGGGGGGGGGGGGGGGGGGGGGGGTGTAAGGTGGTGTCACCCAACTTTCTTCTATGTCTTCTCTCAGGGGGGGGGGGGGGGGGGGGGGGGAAAGGGGGGTGTCACACAACTTTCTTCTATGTCTTCTCTCAGAGGGGGGGGGGGGGTGGTGGGGGAAAGGGGGAGGTGTCACCCAACTTTTCTTCTATGTCTTCTCTCAGACGGCGGGGGAAGGGGGGTGTCATCCATCTTTCTTCTATGTCTTCTCTCAGGCGGGGAAGGGGGGTGTCACAGAACTTTCTTCTATGTCTTCTCTCAGGGGGGGGGGGGGGGGGGGGTGTCATCCATCTTTATTTTATGTCTTCTCTCAGGCGGGGAAGGGGGGGTGTCACCCAACTTTCTTCTATGTCTTCTCTCAGGGAGGGGGGGGGGGGGGCAGGGAAGGGGGGTGTCACCCAACTTTCTTCTATGTCTTCTCTCGGGGGGGGGGGGGGGAAGGGAATGGGGGGGGGGGGGGGGTGTCACACAACTTTCTTCTATGTCTTCTCGCAGGGGGGGGGGGGAGGGGAGTGTCACCCAAACTTTTTCTATGTCTTCTCTCGGGGGGGGGGGGGGGAGGGGGAAGGGGGGTGTCACCCAACTTTCTTCTATGTCTTCTCTCAGAGAGGGGCGGGGGAGGGGTGGTGGGGGAAAGGGGGGTGTCACCCAACTTTCTTCTATGTCTTCTCTCAGGCGGCGGGGGGGAAGGGGGGGGGTGTCATCCATCTCTCTTCTATGGTCTTCTCTCAGGCGGGGAAAGGGGGGTGTCACAGAACTTTCTTCTATGTCTTCTCTCAGGCGGCGGGGAGGGGGGGTGTCATCCATTCTCTCTTTATGTCTTCTCTCAGGCGGGAAGGGGGTGTCACAGAACTTTCTTCTATGTCTTCTCTCAAGGGGGGGGGGGGGGTGGGGGGGGGGGGGGAAGGGGGGTGCCATCCATCTTCTTTTATGTCTCTCTCAGGCGGGGAAGGGGGGTGTCACCCAACTTTCTTCTCTCAGGAAGGGGGGGGGGAGGGGGGGGGGGGGGTCACACAACTTTCTTCTATGTCTTTCTCAGGGGGGAAGGGGGGGTGTCACACAACACAACTTTCTTCTATGTCTTCTCTCAAGGAAGGGGGGGGGGTCACACAACTTTCTTCTATGTCTTCTCTCAGGGGGGAAGGGGGGTGTCACCCAACTTTCTTTTATGTCTTCTCTCAGGCGGGGAAGGGGGGTGGTCACACAACTTTTTATATGTCTTCTCTCAGGCGGGGGAAAAAAAAGGGGGGGGGGGGCGAAGGGGGCGTGGTCACACAACTTTCTTCTATATCTTCTCTCAGGCGGGGACGGGGGGGTGTCAACACAACTTTCTTCCTATGTCTTCTCTCAGGGGAGAGGGGGGGGGGGGGGGGGAGGGGGGTGTCACCAACTTTCTTCTATGTCTTCTCTCAGGCGGCGGGGAGGGGGGTGTCATCCAACTTTCTTCTATGTCTTCTCTCAGGCGGGGGAAGGGGGGTGTCACAGAACTTTCTTCTATGTCTTCTCTCAGGGGGAGGGGGGGTGGGGGGGGGGGAAGGGGGTACACACAACTTTCTTCTATGTCTTCTCTCAGGAGGAAGGGGAAGTGTCACCAACTTTCTTATATGTAATTCTCTCAGTGGGGGGGGGGGGGGGGGCGGGGGGTGTCACCCAAACTTTCTTCTATGTCTTCGCTCAGGCGGCGGGGAAGGGGTGGTGTCATACAACTTTCTTCTATGTCTTCTCCAGGCGGCGGGGGAAGGGGGGGGGGGGTGTCACCCAACTTTCTTAATGTCTTCTCTCAGGAGAGGAGGGGGAAGCGGGGAGCGGGGTCGTCAACCAACTTTCTTTAATGTCTTCTCTCAGGGAGGGGGGTGGGAAGTCACCCAACTTTCTTCTATGTCTTCTCTCAAGCGGCGGGGAAAGGGGGGGGTGTCAAATGGGTCTTCACAAATTTCTTCTATGTCTTCTCTCAGGCGGCGGGGAAGGGGAAGGTGTCATCCAACTTCTCTTCTATGTCTTCTCTCAGGCGGGGAAAGGGGGGGGGCGAAGGGGGTGGTGTCACACAACTTTCTTCTATGTCTTCTCTCAGAGGGGGGGGGGGGGGGTTTGTGGGGGGGGGGGGGTGGGGGGTGTCACCCAACTGTCTTCTATGTCTTTCTCAGTTGGGGGGGGGGGGGGGGGGGTCACCCAACTTTCTTCTATGTCTTCTCTCAGGCGGCGGGGAAGGGGGGTGTCATACAACTTTCTTCTATGTCTTCTCTCAGGCGGCGGGGGAAGGAAGGGGGGGGTGTCACCCAACTTTCTTAATGTCTTCTCTCAGGGAGGAGGGCGGGGAAGGGGGTGTCACCCAACTTTCTTTAATGTCTTCTCTCAGGGAGGGGGGTGTCACCCAACAACTTTCTTCTATGTCTTCTCTCAAGCGGCGGGAAAGGGGGCGGTGGTCATCCAAATTTCTTCTATGTCTTCTCTCAGGCGGCGGGGAAGGGGGTGTCATCCAACTTTCTTCTATGTCTTCTCTCAGGCGGGGGAAAGGGGGGGGGGGCGAAGGGGGGTGTCACACAACTTTCTTCTATGTCTTCTCTCAGAGGGGGGGGGGGGGGGGGAGAAAGGGGGGTGTCACCCAACTTTTTTCTATGTCTTTTCTCAGGCGGCGGGGAAGGGGGGGTGTCATCCATCTTTTTCTTCTATGTCTTCTCTCAGGCGGGGAAGGGGGGGTGTCACAGAAACTTTCTTCTATGTCTTCTCTCAGGGGGGGGGGGGGGGGGGAAAGGGGGGTGTCATCCATCTTTCTTTTATGTCTTCTCTCAGGCGGGGAAGGGGGGTGTCACCCAACTTTCTTCTCTCAGGAAGGGGGGGGGGGAGGGGGGGTGTCACACAACTTTCTTCTATGTCTTCTCTCAGGGGGGAAGGGGGGGTGTCACACAAACACAACTTTCTTCTATGTTCTTCTCTCAAGGAAGGGGGGGGGGGGGTCACACAACTCTTTCTATGTCTTCTCTCAGGGGGGGAAGGGGGGTGTCACCCAACTTTCTTTTATGTCTTCTCTCAGGCGGGGAAGGGGGGTGTCACACAACTTTCTTATATGTCTTCTCTCAGGCGGGGGAAAAGGGGGGGGGGGGCGAAGGGGGGTGTCACACAACTTTCTTCTATATCTTCTCTCAGGCGGGGAAGGGGGGTGTCACACAACTTTCTTCTATGTCTTCTCTCAGGGAGAGGGGGGGGGGGGGGGGGGGAGGGGGGTGTCACCCAACTTTCTTCTATGTCTTCTCTCAGGCGGCGGGGAAGGGGGGTGTCATCCATCTTTCTTCTATGTCTTCTCTCAGGCGGGGAAGGGGGGTGTCACAGAACTTTCTTCTATGTCTTCTCTCAGGGGAGGGGGGGGGGGGGAGGGGGTCACACAACTTTCTTCTATGTCTTCTCTCAGGGAGGAAGGGGAGTGTCACACAACTTTCTTCTATGTCTTCTCTCAGGCGGCGGGGAAGGGGGGTGTCATACAACTTTCTTCTATGTCTTCTCTCAGGCGGCGGGGAAGGGGTGTCACCCAACTTTCTTTAATGTCTTCTCTCAGGGAGGAGGGGCGGGGAAGGGGGTGTCACCCAACTTTCTTTAATGTCTTCTCTCAGGGAGGGGGGTGTCACCCAACTTTCTTCTATGTCTTCTCTCAAGCGGCGGGAAAGGGGGGTGTCATCCAAATTTCTTCTATGTCTTCTCTCAGGCGGCGGGGAAGGGGGTGTCATCCAACTTTCTTCTATGTCTTCTCTCAGGTGGCGGGGAAGGGGGGTGTCATCCAACTTTCTTCTATGTCTTCTCTCAAGCGGCGGGGAAGGGTGGTGTCACCCAACAATCCACTGGCACACTGTCCTGGCATAGCAGTTCCTGCCAGACAGTTGTGGTGACAGTGTTGTCACAGTGACAGTGTTGTCACAGACAGCTTTTACTCCATGTAACTAATATTGTAATTTCCTTTCAATTCCCCTTCTTCATAATTCGTAAGAGTATTTTGCTAGCATGACTTATTAATGTGTTGATACAGTAGTTGGAGCATATTTTAGATTTCCTTTCTTTAGGAGAGGGATATAGGTTGTTCTTCTCCACGCATTAGGCCAAATGGCGAGGTTACAGATATTTGTGCACAGTGCCTGGTAATTTTGGATGCTAGCACCTCCTGCTGCTTGAATTAGTTCTGCTGGTATTTTGTCGCCACCTAGTAACTTTTTTCAGAGTGTGTATTGCTGATCATATCTCATCTCTGGTTCTTTATCGTCACTTGTTATATTTTTTTTCTTCATAAAGCTGCATTAAGAAGTTTGTGATCAAAGAAAATATCAATTGAAAAAAAAAAAGCACAGAAAACAGCGGTGAGAGGAGGCACCTACTTGTTCATGTCCACACAACACTTGGCCAGCAGATACTTGCACTGTGGGCTCTGGCAGCAGCTCTTACACAGCAACATGTAGGCCTGGTAAACACTGCCGGATCTGTAGTAGCAAGTGGCCAGCAGGTACAGCGAGTCACTGTTGGCAACTGTAGGTAGAATACAGAATCACTTCAATCACTCAGTGGATGCCATATCTAGCACAGTTAACACTGGTATACAAGTGTGAGTGTACTGACAACAACACTGGTGTACAAGTGTGAGTGTACTGACAACAACACTGGTGTACAAGTGTGAGTGTACTGACAACAATACTGGTGTACAAGTGTGAGTGTACTGACAACAACACTGGTGTACAAGTGTGAGTGTACTGACAACAACACTGGTGTACAAGTGTGAGTGTACTGACAACAATACTGGTGTACAAGTGTGAGTGTACTGACAACAACACTGGTGTACAAGTGTGAGTGTACTGACAACAATACTGGTGTACAAGTGTGAGTGTACTGACAACAACACTGGTGTACAAGTGTGAGTGTACTGACAACAATACTGGTGTACAAGTGTGTGTGTACTGACAACAATACTGGTGTACAAATGTGAGTGTACTGACAACATTGGTGTACAAGTAAGAGCGTACTGGCAACAACACTAGTGTACAAGTAAGAGCGTACTGACAACAATACTGGTGTACAAGTGTGAGTGTACTGACAACAACACTGGTGTACAAATGTGAGTGTACTGACAACAACACTGGTGTACAAGTGTGAGTGTACTGGCAACAACACTGGTGTACAATTAAGAGCGTACTGGCAACAACACTGGTGTACAAGTAAGAGCGTACTGGCAACAACACTGGTGTACAAGTAAGAGCGAGGTATTCAAGTGTGAGTGTACTGGCAACAACACTGGTGTACAAGTAAGAGCGTACTGGCAACAACACTGGTGTACAAGTAAGAGTGTACTGGCAACAAGACTGGTGTACAAGTGTGAGTGTACTGGCAACAACGCTGGTGGTCAAGTGTGAGTGTACTGACAACAACGCTGGTGTACAAGTGTGAGTGTACTGATAACAGACAGTAGGGACTTACTTTCAGCGTATAATCTCTCAGCCAGAAATATGGCATTCCCATAGGAGTAATTGCTGAGGGCGTCCCAGACAGCAGCCTGCAACAAATAAGTAGGTCATCTGTCAATGGTGCATGGTCTCAACTGTCTTTCTGTAAGACAGTGATGACATTTGTGATCCATGTTACTCCAGAAACTGCCTGTCATGACATTTGTGATCCATGTTACTCTAGAAACTGTCTGTCATGACATTTCTACAACATGTTACCTAACAGAAACTGCACATCATAACATTTGTGATTCATGTTACTCCAGAAACTGCCTGTCATGACATTTGTGATCCATGTTACTCTAGAAACTGTCTGTCATGACATTTGTGATTCATGTTACTCCAGAAACTGTCTGTCATGACATTTATGACTCATGTTACTTCAGAAACTGTCTGTCATGACATTTGTGATCCATGTTACTTCAAAAACTGTCTATCATGACATTTATGACTCATGTTACTTCAGAAACTGTCATGACATTTGTGATCTATAGACAGAAAACTAAAAACATCTAAGGCAGCCCTAAATAAACTAGATGAAAACAGTCAAGTGACAAAATTATAGTAGTGCTGAGTATAAGACTATCAGTATCAAGTTTCAACTAATTAATCAACAATCATCCACAGTCCCACTTTAAAACAAACATACACATACAAGGAGAACACTAACACAGCTGAAAGATGGCATTAGCTAGCAGTTCAATCAACAATCATTGACAGTCCCACTATGACTATAAAACATATAACGAGAACACTACTTACACTAACACAACTGAAAGATGAAAGAAGGCATTAGCTAGCAGTTCAATCAACAATCATTGACAGTCCCACTATAAAACAAACATATACACTATACTATACACATACAAGGAGAACACATACAAGGAGAACACATACACTAACACAACTGAAAGATGAAAGAAGGCATTATTAGGCGATTAGCTAGCAGTTCAATCAACAGCCACATTAAAGCTGACATTCACACTAACTTTCAAATAAACATAAGTAGAACACTAACACAACGGAAAGAAGGCACTAGCAGGTTTCAATCAACAAGCTTCGACAGTCCCGCTATAAAACACAAATTAGGAACACAACAACAGGACTAGGAAACACTTCAAATCACAAACTTCATTATCATCAGCATTTCTAAAATCAACAACAAACAGCGACAGGGCCAACTGTGCCTAATTTATTTATATTTTACAAAATGACAGGTCATGATTAAGAACTGATACTCATCAGATATGTGAGAAAACAGATACCTGTACTGGCTCCTGTAGTAACATTGCGGTAAGAATAATCGAGAGCTAAAAGGTCGAAGATTTCACACCAGAAACAAACAACGGAGCCGCCTGAAGCCGATCGGCCATCTTTGTAAATGACTCGTTTTGAAATACGACTTGGTCACGTGACGCAGGGGGCGTGATGCTGGCGAAGTCGTGAGGGCAGGAGTTACGGGACGTGCCTCGGAGAGTCCTGGAGTCCTAGTGGAGGATGGAACATAATGGTAGTGTCTTCTGGGGGGAAAAGGGGGGGGGTGGAGAACACAAGACACATGATGATAGTGTCATCCATGTGGAGGGAGAGAGTAAAAACAACAGGACAGATGAAGGGTAATGCCTTTACTGTAAAGTACAGTTACTACACCAGAAACGGCCATCTCTTTCTCTGCTTGTGTGTAACCGGTCAAAACATTCACAGATGTCCGCATCGACGCAAGCAGTATCATGAACAACCAAGCCGTACTGTCATCGCTTTATAAATAAAATGCCTTGAAATGAAATTAGGTTATACTTCTAGTTTTCTTCGTGTTGACACGGAAACTACTGTGGCCACGTTAAACCCGCCTACCTCATGCTAGAATTGCATCCGGTAGCTACCTATACCAAATAGCAGGTTAGTTGCGTATGATGTTGCAGAACCAACCCCAACAGCCCCTGGCTGTTGTGTGGTTTTTCAAGGCTAATAAACGTCCAGTAGTTTGCCATTGCTTTCTGGACGGTGGTCGGCCTTCTTAATACCACTGTCGAAACCAACGCAAGGCGCGTGACCCGCAGCTGGGATCAAACCCGGCATTACGAAGCGTTCGCATCGACTTGGCCACAGAGCCGGCATACCAAATAACAAGGGAGATAAAATACATCGCTGTTTCAATCAAACTCAATCACTCAAACCAATCACTGAAACCCTTATTCGTTCGCCTAACATCATGTTGTACCTTTTTACATTGCTTTCGAACTGTTTATTATAATTTTCATTCGCATACCATTAAATTGCAAATGTCCCCACAGTGATGTTCTGTAGAAACTATGAAAAGACTTCTTAAAGTCTATGAAATTCAAAATAAGGGTTTATTGTTTGCCAACACATGCCTAATAAACATGTGATGAGTAGGTCCGCCATGCGGGGCCCATCAGACAAGGATCACCCGAGGACAGGTTCCAGAAATCCTATTCAACCCATAGGCTGGGTTGTATTAGGGCCCCCGGCAAAAAAGCGAGGGTGGGATCATCAGCAACATTTGATCTGAAAGGTTTCGTCCAGACGGAAATCCTTGTTGTTTTCCTCTCAGGACTGTGCTCACTAGCCCTTTCATTCCATTGAGAATTATTTTACTAATTGTTCACTACTCACCTCCCATGTTGACCCAGCGCGGATTGGCTCCCATGTTGACCCAGCCTAGATTGGCTCCCATGTTGACCCAGCCTGGATTAGCTCCCATGTTGACCCAGCCTGGATTAGCTACCATGTTGACCCAGTCTGGATTGGCTCCCATGTTGACCCAGCCTGGATTGGCTCCCATGTTGGCCCAGCATTGATTGGCTCCCATGTTGACCCAGCCTAGATTGGCTCCCATGTTGACCCAGCCTGGATTGGCTCCCATGTTGACCCAACATAGATTGGCTCCCATGTTGACCCAGCCTGGATTGGCTCCCATGTTGACCCAGCCTGGATTGGCTCCCATGTTGGCCCAGCATTGATTGGCTCCCATGTTGACCCAGCCTGGATTGGCTCCCATGTTGATCCAGCCTGGATTGGCTCCCACGTTGACCCAGCCTGGATTGGCTCCTATGTTGACCCAGCATGGATTGGCTCCCATGTTGACCCAGCATTGATTGGCTCCCATGTTGACCCAGCATTGATTGGCTCCCACGTTGACCCAGCATGGATTGGCTCCCATGTTGACCCTGCATGGATTGGCTCCCATGTTGGCCCAGCATTGATTGGCTCCCATGTTGACCCAGCCTGGATTGGCTCCCATGTTGACCCAGCCTGGATTGGCTCCCACGTTGACCCAGCCTGGATTGGCTCCTATGTTGACCCAGCATGGATTGGCTCCCATGTTGACCCAGCATTGATTGGCTCCCACGTTGACCCAGCATTGATTGGCTCCCACGTTGACCCAGCATGGATTGGCTCCCATGTTGACCCAGCATGGATTGGCTCCCATGTTGACCCAGCGTGGATTGGCTCCCATGTTGACCCAGCATTGATTGACTCCCATGTTGACCCAGCATTGATTGACTCCCATGTTGACAGAGCATTGATTGACTCCCATGTTGACCCAGCATTGATTGACTCCCATGTTGACCCATCATTGATTGACTCCAATGTTGACCCAGCATGGATTGGCTCCCACGTTGAACCAGCATTGACTGACTCCCATGTTGACCCAGCATTGATTGGCTCCCATGTTGACCCAGTGCGGATTGGCTCTTATGTTGTGAAGGTAGACGGAGGTAAACTCTTCACTATAGTGAACATATATACCAGTGCAGGCTGTGAAGGTAGTCGGAGGTAAACTCTTCACTATAGTGAACATATATACCAGTGCAGGCTGTGAAGGTAGACGGAGATAAACTCTTCACTGTAGTGAACATATATACCAGTGCAGGCTGTGAAGGTAGTCGGAGGTAAACTCTTCACTATATTGAACATATATACCAGTGCAGGCTGTGAAGGTAGACGGAGGTAAACTCTTCACTGTAGTGAACATATATACCAGTGCAGGCTGTGAAGGTAGTCGGAGGTAAACTCGTCACTGTAGTGAACATATATACCAGTGCAGGCTGTGAAGGTAGACGGAGGTAAACTCTTCACTGTAGTGAACATATATACCAGCAATAATAAGGTAGACAAAGAGAAGTGGAGAGTTCTATGTGATATATGCGATCGGTTTAACACCAGCATCATCCTCTTCAACGCGAGTGGTCGGCTACAGGAGAAACCCCGGTCAACAGGCTGAGGCACTGTCAGACAAAAAGCTGACCTACTTGAATGACGGCAGACCCACCAGAATCCCTGCTAGAGAAGGCAAAATGGACTGCGGCACAACTACGTCTGGCAGGACCATGGAGATAACTGCTACTTCCAGAGCACTCACGTGGGTGGCAGAACAAGCGGCCACACATGCGGTAATCGTTTCAGGCTCTATGAATATGCTTCAGAAAATCGCTACAGAGAGTCTACGCTCCGAAAGGGTAGAAAGCATTCGAAAGTCGCAGTTCACCTCCATCATCTGGATCTATACACCTGGGCACGCAGGAGTACATGGTAATGAAAGAGCTGACCAGCTGGCAAGTAAGGCACCAATACAAACGTGAAGAAGCATAGACAGAGCTTATATCATCAACGCTGTAAGGACTAGGTTGGGGAATAACAGCAAATTTCTGACGTTAACAAGACTGCGTGACTGAGGAGTTAAGCGTGGTGAAGCACGTCTCTGTCGTCTTCGAAGTAAAGATAGGAGATACTATAACCAATTCCTCATGAGAACAATCAGCAGAGGTACATTGGAGGCTGCTGCATCAGACTGAATTTGCATGTGGGTGCCCAATGTGCAGAGACATCGACTGTGATAACATAACATCATGGAAACGACCACCTTCGATGCTCGATTTTGGTCAAGAAAACAAAACTTAAAAGGTCCCAGGAACCAGATGTCATGTTTAGGTACAGGGTACACCAGACTGACGTAACTGGGCGTCTACGAGACAGGGTACACCAGACTGACGTAACTGGGCGTCTACGAGACAGGATACACCAGACCGACTAACTGGGCGTCTACGAGACAGGGTACACCAGACTGACGTAACAGGGCGTCTACGAGACAGGATACACCAGACTGACGTAACAGGGCGTCTACGAGACAGGATACACCAGACCGACGTAACTGGGCGTCTACGAGACAGGGTACACCAGACCGACGTAACAGGGCGTCTACGAGACAGGGTACACCAGACTGACGTAACAGGGCGTCTACGAGACAGGGTACGCAGAAATCCGTGGGAGGGGGGGGGGGAGAAAGATGTCTGTCAACAACCCCTATAGTGAACACCTGAAGTTGCAAAGGCATGGACAGAGGAATTAAGTGCCACCAAAGAATGGAAGAAATGCACTTTCAAGCAAGCCATGAAAGAAAGAAAAGATGACCTCACTGAACACTTTACAAACCGCGTGGGAGGCTAAGCACACAACATGGGAGACATGTTGCAATGAAATAGGGTGCGAAAAAATCCTTAAAAATATTCTAGCTACTCCACTAAAGTATAAACTTTGGCAAACAATCGTGTAATATGCCCGAATTAAAGATTGATAGTGAAGTGGTTTTAAAATCTGATGAAGACAAAGCTGAGGCACTCCCGCAAAGATTTCTCCGACAAACCGAAAAGACACAGAGAGACGAGATGAAGACAAAGAGAGACGAGAGGAAGACAAAGAGAGACGAGAGGAAGACAAAGAGAGACGAGAGGAAGACAAAGAGAGACGAGAGGAAGACAAAGAGAGACGAGAGGAAGACAAAGAGAGACGAGAGGAAGACAAAGAGAGACGAGAGGAAGACAAAGAGAGACGAGAGGAAGACAAAGAGAGACGAGAGGAAGACAAAGAGAGACGAGAGGAAGACAAAGAGAGACGAGAGGAAGACAAAGAGAGACGAGAGGAAGACGAAGAGAGACGAGACAAAGAGATACGAGAGGAAGACAAAGAGAGACGAGAGGAAGGCAAAGAGAGACGAGAGGAAGACAAAGAGAGACGAGAGGAAGACAAAGAGATACGAGAGGAAGACAAAGAGAGACGAGAGGAAGACAAAGAGATACGAGAGGAAGACAAAGAGATACGAGAGGAAGACAAAGAGATACGAGAGGAAGACAAAGAGAGACGAGAGGAAGACAAAGAGAGACGAGAGGAAGACAAAGAGAGACGAGAGGAAGACAAAGAGAGACGAGAGGAAGACAAAGAGATACGAGAGGAAGACAAAGAGAGATGAGAGGAAGACAAAGAGATACGAGAGGAAGACAAAGAGAGACGAGAGGAAGACAAAGAGAGACGAGAGGAAGACAAAGAGAGACGAGAGGAAGACAAAGAGAGACGAGAGGAAGACAAAGAGAGACGAGAGGAAGACAAAGAGAGACGAGAGGAAGACAAAGAGAGACGAGAGGAAGACAAAGAGAGACGAGAGGAAGACAAAGAGAGACGAGAGGAAGACAAAGAGAGACGAGAGGAAGACAAAGAGAGACGAGAGGAAGACAAAGAGAGACGAGAGGAAGACAAAGAGAGACGAGAGGAAGACAAAGAGAGACGAGAGGAAGACAAAGAGAGACGAGAGGAAGACAAAGAGAGACGAGAGGAAGACAAAGAGAGACGAGAGGAGGCAGATGAAACGAACAGAACCAGACATGCACATCGCTGAAATGGATGGAGAAAATGACACAGTGAACATCCCTGTAGCAAACATCAGAGCCCGACACAGTGAACATCCCTGTAGCAAACATCAGAGCCCGACACAGTGAACATCCCTGTAGCAAACATCAGAGCCCCACACAGTGAACATCCCTGTAGCAAACATCAGAGCCCGACACAGTGAACATCCCTGTAGCAAACATCAGAGCCCGACACAGTGAACATCCCTGTAGCAAACATCAGAGCCCGACACAGTGAACATCCCTGCAGCAAACATCAGAGCCCGACACAGTGTACATCCCTGTAGCAAACATCAGAGCCCGACACAGTGAACATCCCTGTAGCAAACATCAGAGCCCGACACAGTGTACATCCCTGTAGCAAACATCAAAGCCCGACACAGTGAACATCCCTGTAGCAAACATCAGAGCCCGACACAGTGAACATCCCTGTAGCAAACATCAGAGCCCGACACAGTGAACATCCCTGTAGCAAACATCAGAGCCCGACAAAGTGAACATCCCTGTAGCAAACATCAGAGCCTGACACAGTGAACTTTCCTGTAGCAAACATCAGAGCTATACTGAAGACCCGCCCTGACACAGTGTACATTCCTGTAGCAAACATCAGAGCTATACTGAAGACCCGCCCTGACACAGTGTACATCCCTGTAGCCAACATCAGAGCTATACTGAAGACCCGCCCTGACACAGTGTACATCTCTGTAGCAAACATCAGAGCTATACTGAAGACCCGCCCTGACACAGTGTACTGTAGCAAACATCAGAGCCCGACACAGTGTACATCCCTGTAGCAAACATCAGAGCCCGACACAGTGAACGTCCCTGTAGCAAACATCAGAGCCCGACACAGTGAACATCCCTGTAGCAAACATCAGAGCTACACTGAAGACCCGCCCTGACACAATGTACATCTCTGTAGCAAACATCAGAGCTATACTGAAGACCCGCCCTGACACAGTGTACATCCCCGTAGCAAACATAAGAGAGCCCGACACAGTGTACATTCCTGTAGCAAACATCAGAGCCCGACACAGTGTACATCCCTGTAGCAGACATCAGAGCCCGACACAGTGTACATCCCTGTAGCAAACATCAGAGCCCGATACAGTGTACATTCCTGTAGCAAACATCAGAGTTATACTGAAGACCCGCCCTGATACAGTGTACATCCCTGTAGCAAACATCAGAGCTATACTGAAGACCCGCCCTGATACAGTGTACATCCCTGTAGCAAACATCAGAGCTATACTGAAGACCCGCCCCGACACAGTGTACATCCCTGTAGCAAACATCAGAGCTATACTGAAGACCCGCCCCGACACACTGTACATCCCTGTAGCAAACATCAGAGCTATACTGCAGATCTGTCCTGACACAGTGAACATCCCTGTAGCAAACATCAGAGCTATACTGAAGACCCGCTCCGACACAGTGTACATCCCCATAGCAAACATCAGAGCTATACTGAAGACCCGCCCTGACACAGTGTACATCCCTGTAGCCAACATCAGAGCTATACTGAAGACCCGCCCTGACACAGTGTACATCCCTGTAGCAAACATCAGAGCTATACTGAAGACCCGCCCTGACACAGTGTACATCCCTGTAGCAAACATCAGAGCTATACTGAAGACCCGCCCTGACACAGTGTACATCCCTGTAGCAAACATCAGAGTTATCCTGAAGACCTGTACCGACACAGTGTACATCTCTGTAGCAAACATCAGAGCTATACCGAAGACCCGCCCTGACACAGTGTACATCCCTGTAGAAAACATCAGAGATATACTGAAGACCCGCCCCGACACAGTGTACATCTCTGTAGCAAACATCAGAGCTATACTGAAGACCCGCCCTGACACAGTGTACATCCCTGTAGCAAACATCAGAGCTATACTGAAGACCCGCCCCAACACAATGTACATCACTGAAGCAAACATCAGAGCTATACTGAAGACCCGCCCTGACACAGTGTACATCCCTGTAGCCAACATCAGAGCTATACTGAAGACCCGCCCTGACACAGTGTACATCCCTGTAGCCAACATCAGAGCTATACTGAAGTCCCGCCCTGACACAGTGTACATCCCTGTAGCAAACATCAGAGCTATACTGAAGACCCGCCCTGACACAGTGTACATCCCTGTAGCAAACATCAGAGTTATCCTGAAGACCTGTACCGACACAGTGTACATCTCTGTAGCAAACATCAGAGCTATACTGAAGACCCGTACCGACACAGTGTACATCCCTGTAGAAAACATCAGAGATATACTGAAGACCCGCCCCGACACAGTGTACATCTCTGTAGCAAACATCAGAGCTATACTGAAGACCCGCCCTGACACAGTGTACATCCCTGTAGCAAACATCAGAGCTATACTGAAGACCCGCCCCATGTACATCCCTGTAGCAAACATCAGAGCTATACTGAAGACCCGCCCCAACACAATGTACATCCCTGAAGCAAACATCAGAGCTATACTGAAGACCCGCCCTGATACAGTGTACATCCCTGTAGCCAACATCAGAGCTATACTGAAGACCCGCCCTGACACAGTGTACATCCCTGTAGCCAACATCAGAGCTATACTGAAGTCCCGCCCTGACACAGTGTACATCCCTGTAGCAAACATCAGAGCTATACTGAAGACCCGCCCTGACACAGTGTACATCCCTGTAGCAAACATCAGAGCTATACTGAAGACCCGCCCCAACACAGTGTACATCCCTGTAGCAAACATCAGAGCTATACTGAAGACCCGCCCCAACACAGTGTACATCTCTGTAGTAAACATCAGAGCTATACTGAAGACCCGCCCTGACACAGTGTACATCTCTGTAGCCAACATCAGAGCTATACTGAAGACCCGCCCTGACACAGTGTACATCCCTGTAGCAAACATCAGAGCTATACTGAAGACCCACCCCGACACAGTGTACATCCCCGTAGCAAACATCAGAGCTATACTAAAGACCCGCCCCGACACAGTGTACATCCCTGTAGCAAACATCAGAGCTATACTGAAGACCCGCCCCGACACAGTGTACATCCCTGTAGCAAACATCAGAGCTATACTGAAGATCTGTCCCGACACAGTGTACATCTCTGTAGCCAACATCAGAGCTATACTGAAGACCCGCCCTGACACAGTGTACATCCCTGTAGCAAACATCAGAGCTATACTGAAGACCCGCCCCGACACAGTGTACATCCCTGTAGCAAACATCAGAGCTATACTAAAGACCCGCCCCGACACAGTGTACATCTCTGTAGCAAACATCAGAGCTATACTGAAGACCCGCCCTGACACAGTGTACATCTCTGTAGCCAACATCAGAGCTATACTGAAGACCCGCCCTGACACAGTGTACATCCCTGTAGCAAACATCAGAGCTATACTGAAGATCTGTCCCGACACAGTGTACATCTCTGTAGCCAACATCAGAGCTATACTGAAGATCTGTCCCGACACAGAGTACATCTCTGTAACCAACATCAGAGCTATACTGAAGACCTGTCCCGACACAGTCTACATACCTGTAGCCAACATCAGAGCTATATTGAAGATCTGTCCCGACACAGTGTACATCCCTGTAGCAAACACCAGAACTATACTGAAGACCTGTCCCGACACAGTGTACATCTCTGTAGCAAACATCAGAGCTATACTGAAGATCTGTCCCAACACAGTGTACATCTCTGTAGCAAACATCAGAGCTATACTGAAGACCCGCCCTGACACAGTGTACATCTCTGTAGCCAACACCAGAGCTATACTGAAGACCTGTCCCGACACAGTGTACATTCCTATAGCCAACATCAGAACTATACTGAAGATCTGTCCCGACACAGTGTACATCCCTGTAGCAAACATCAGAGCTATACTGAAGACCTGTCCCGACACAGTGTACATCTCTGTAGCAAACATCAGAGCTATACTGAAGACCCCCCTGACACAGCGTACATCTCTGTAGCAAACATCAGAGCTATACTGAAGACCCGCTCTGACACAGTGTACATCTCTGTAGCAAACATCAGAGCTATACTGAAGACCCGCCCTGACACAGTGTACATCTCTGTAGCAAACATCAGAGCTATACTGAAGACCTGTCCCGACACAGTGTACATCCCTGTAGCAAACATCAGAGCTATACTGAAGACCCGCCCTGACACAGTGTACATCCCTGTAGCAAACATCAGAGCTATACTGAAGACCCACCCCGACACAGTGTACATCCCCGTAGCAAACATCAGAGCTATACTAAAGACCCGCCCCGACACAGTGTACATCCCTGTAGCAAACATCAGAGCTATACTGAAGACCCGCCCCGACACAGTGTACATCCCTGTAGCAAACATCAGAGCTATACTGAAGATCTGTCCCGACACAGTGTACATCTCTGTAGCCAACATCAGAGCTATACTGAAGACCCGCCCTGACACAGTGTTCATCCCTGTAGCAAACATCAGAGCTATACTGAAGATCTGTCCCGACACAGTGTACATCCCTGTAGCCAACATCAGAGCTATACTGAAGACCTGTCCCGACACAGCCCCAGGACCCGATGGCATCAGATACAGTGACTTCAAATGCCCCAAGGAAACAGACACAACCCAACTATCTAGGGCGTTTATCTTAATTATTTTAGGGAATGTAGGATGTTTTGTTCCATTCCAGTCCTCTCAGACAATGTAGGAGGGAATGTAGGATGCTGTCTTCCCAGCAGACTCTGGGTTCCCCTGTAGGTCTGCTTCCCTGGTTCTTAGCCTCCCAAGGTGGTCGACTTTCTCTCATTCTGCATACATGTGAAACCATTGGCATTGGTATTGACTGACTGCAGACTTTGTCCCTTCTTGTCACGTGGACCACCTTTCGCAGATATCTAATTTCTGAGGCATAAAGCTGGCTTCTGTGAGCTGTTGTCATTGCCTCACATCTGTAGGTCAGAAAT